AGTGTGTTTTCTGCCACTGTGAATGCTGTCTCCACAAACTTTCCCCCTATTTTGGTTTCTTCTGCCTTTTTCATCATCATTTTTGTGTTTATGAACAAACATTGTACCAAATATGTTGCCTGCAGGGCCCCAGAGTCATTTTGCTCCTATGACAATGAAACAGGGTTGAACAGGTTCTTAGGTGTTTTGTAGAAAGGTCTTCTTGAGGGAGAACTGAGTGGAGCCTCTTGGAGACTCATGAATCCTCTCTGGGTTTTGATTTGCCCTCTGCTTTTCTCCTCAGGAAGCTTCAGCTTACCTACACTGACTCATTAACCAGCCACTGCCCTCTGGAGAGGGAGAATGAGGCAGCTGTAAATAAGTCAGAGGTCAGGCTTCGAAACAGTCCTCCTCTCCAGTTCTTTCCAGGCTCTACTTCTCTCCCTTGAGAGTGGAAGTCTTTTATTTGGTGCTTGCTGCTTCAGAGGAGTTTGTCCTTTAATACTTGTAAAACTCTTGCATCCTCAAAAAAGAAATCTTGAGTGATTACTTTTGAAATCATAAATTATTTTGCTGTTTTGATTAAAAAGATTATTTATGAGGACATAAAGTATGAGATTTCTTGCTGGGCATGGTGATTCATACCATAATCCCAGCTACTTAGGAGGAAGAGATAGGAGGATCATAGTTTGAGGCCAGTGGCAGGGGAAAAACAGTGAGACCCTATCTAAAAGAATAAGCTGGGCATGTTGGTTCACATTATAATCCCAGCTACATGGAAGGGATGGGTAAAAGGATTACAGTCTCAGGCCAGCCCCAAGCAAAATTACATGAAACCTCATCGGAAAAATAACGAAAACAAAAAAGGCTGGGGTTGTAGATCAAATGGTAGAGCCTTTCCCTAGCAAGCCTGAGGCCCTGAGTTCAGACACCAGTAAAATAGTATAAGGTTTCTTTGAGCTCCTGTAAGTGTGCTAGCTTTTATCCATTCATTCAATTGTTGTCTACTTAAGAGCAGTAGAGAATACTGTAGGGACATGGTAGACAGCTTACTACTTAAATGACTAACTCATGTAAATAAGTCACTTAATTCCTGAACCTCAGATTTCCTCATCTTTAAAAAAACATTATGCAATGCCTTCTAGTCTTTTCTCTGCCACTTGATGTCCTGGCATAATAAATACCTTCAGACTATCATTATTGTTGTTGCTGTTACTTTTGTAATTAATAGCTAACATTTAATGAACACTTACTGTGCACCAGGCACTATGCTAAATACTTCCCATTTATTTTTTAATCTTCACAATAACCCAATGAAGTAAATACTCTATGATTATCCCTATTTTACAGAAAAGGACACTGAGAATTAGAAAGATTAACTAACTTGCCTAAGGTCACATAGCTAGGAAGTGTTAGAGCCCACTTGGGTTGCTCCCCAGAGCCAGTCCTCAGGACAGTCTATAACCTACAGACCTGCCTGGCAGGGTGGAGGGTTTGGATAAGGACATAAGTGACTCTAGATGGTAAGACTGGAGCCAGGTCATGAGGGCCTTCAATGCTAAGCTTGTTATTTTTATTAGAGTCAGCACAGTTCGGGGCAGTCTGAGAATTGCTCTCTTCCTGTCTTATATTTAAACTGTAAAAAATGGTAATATATATTAAAACCTGTCACATTGACATTTTAAACAAGCATAATGAATGCCCACATACCTACCATGCAGCTCAGGAGATGAGCTATTTGTTAGGTCCTTTGGGACATCCTTTATGCTCCTAACTGAACACCACCTCCAACTTCCAGCTGAACTCTCTTCAATTTTCTCCGTGTCCTCCCCCCTTTGCCTTAAATGGTTTTGCCACTCCTATCCCAACTTCCAGGGAAAATGTGTGGTTTGCAGAATCAGGCAGGAGCCATGTGGCCTTCCTGCTGTCTGTCCAGGCTGAGAGGGGCTGGGGGAATTGTGTCTGGCACAGGAGGAGAGGAAGAGAGCGCACTGGAGAAACTGGCAGGCTCTCTGGCTGGCCCAGAAGCTTGGCCACTGGGCAGAGAGGTTTCAGTGGGGAGTTCAGCCTCTCTGCCTTGAGTTTTGCATGGGGTGGGCGGGAGTGGGGAGACCTTTTTGAGAAAAGCTGCAGTATCATTTCTGTCATGGCTAGGAAGCTTCAGGGCTAACACAATGCCAAATGTCTCTGGGTGGTTTTAGCAGTCCTGCCTCTTATTTTCACCCCATTTGTTTTCTGGAGGATTGATTACGTGCCAGTCTTTGCCACTTTGCTTTCCTGTAAATTTTTCTTGACTTTGCTTTGTGGTGCTCTTTTGAATAAGAACTTTCTACAAATAGCCCTTGCGAAGGACAGAGTACAGATGATACTGTGAGAACAGTCTACAGGGCGTGAAAGAAGGGGGTGATGGGAAGTCTCTGCAGCTATGGCTTTGATCTGACCCCCACCTCATCCCCACCACTCACCAAAGATATTGTCTGGTGGCCAGAGGGTTGGATTTTGAAACCTGGCATCCAGATGTAGTTCAGTGGAACAGATTTAAGGAGCCCTAGTGTGCTAGGTACTGTAGTGGACCATAGATAGAGAAGGAACTGGGGTATGCCCCTAGGGAATGTACAGGCTAGATGTGAAGATAAGACTTTTCCTGCAAATACATAAGGCAGTACAAGTGCCAAACACAGAATGTAGGTCATTTTTCTGATCACCAGAGTAGTATGTGGTTATTAAAAATACATTCAAACATAAAAGAAACATACAGAATAGAAAGTCCTGGAATGATAATGCCCTGCAAGCTAACTTCTCTTCTTAGTTGACAGTGATTTATTGTTCAGTACTGGAGGAGCAGGGATTTGAGCCGACCTCTAAAGTAAAATCCTGGAGGCAAACTGAGAGGAAGAAGGCAGGCATCTTGAGGATCTTGGTTTCCTGCCCCAGGAGGAGCACCCTCTCCAGGTTCTCCAACAAATGGGGAGCCAAACTCTGCTGGGACACCTTGGTGACAGGGACCAATACCAATAGGAAGAAATCTTTGTGAAGTACCCACCATGTTTTTATGTGCTATTCAGTCTGTGGGGTACTTTGTAGATGTTACTGAATTAATCCTCATCACTTTGTAGCAGAGGTGTCTCCTTAATTTACAAATTGGGATACTAAGGCCCAGAGGTTTCTTACCATGGTTTCTTACATAGCAGCAAGTAGTATTCAGTTTTGTCATTTACTAGCTGTGTGATCTTGGGCAAATTTTTTTAGGGGCTTAGTTTCCCCATCTCTAAAGTTGGGTAGTAAGGTGTCTGCCTCATTAGGTGGGTGTTTTTAAGCTTAATGAGTTAGCATACATTAGGTCAGCAGAATGGCCTGGGGTACATAGTAGGCACTCAGTAGCATTGGCTTCTATCTGTTATGTTCTGATTTCTTTCTTGTTCTGACACTCAGCGTCTCCTCAGTTCAATTATTTTTTGTGGTACTGAGGTTTGAACCTAGGGCCTTGACCTTGCTAGAGGCAGGCAATTTACTATTTGATCCACACCACCAGCCCCTCAGTTTGATTCTTAATGCCTTTCCACCCTCTTACCTTATCCTGTGCCCTCATTACAGGTCTCCCACCTATTGGGGCACCCTACTGACTCACCTTGCTGCTAGTCATTAGTCATTTATATACTAGAATAAACCTGGTGTACAGTTCTCATACCACAACTATGTTTTAAAAACAGCCAAATAAACTTTAAACCTTTCTTTGATTCTTTGATTTGAAGTTTAGGATTTTCCATCTCTGACCCCAACTCGCCCTTGTGGGAGCCTGTTCTCTGCTTCCACCCTCCTACCTGCTTTCTGCTCCTCCCCACTTTTGCCCCTTTCCATCTGCGGAAATTCTTTTGTTTATTTTTTTTTTGGCAGTACTGGGGTTTGAACTCAGGGCCTACATGCTTATTAGGCAGGCACTCTTAGCGCTTGAGCCGCCTCACTCCACTAGTCTCATCTGAGCTGCAAGTTCCAGGTTAAAATATCACTCATTTTTTTAATCTTTCCCTGCTCTCAACATTTTCGTTTTCTTTGCATCGTTGGTAGGAGTTAGCACATGCTGTCTTGAAATGTAATATTTGTGACCATTTTTGATCTGTGGAATTATAACCTACCTCATTGCAGATGCTGGGTTTAATTTATTTTGGGGTACTTCCTGCAATGTCCTATAACAGTGCTTTGCACGTAGTAGGTGCTGGATAAATGCGGTTTCTTTGAACTAGCTGGTGGGCTTCTGTAGCCTTGTGAAGGTGGCTACCCAGTGGGTGGAAACGCTGGGGTTTTGTGTTGTAAGAGTCAGACATCTTTTCTTTCAGCCTTGGAGAGGCCGAGCCTTAGGCTCTGCCGATGGGTCTCAGCGCCGCTTTCTGTTAAGGTTCCAGCCAGTGCCTGCCCGAACTCAGTCCCGTGCCTTGGCCCCTCCGCCCCTCCCCACAAATGCTCAGCGGAACAGGGGATTAGGTTCTGGCAGCACAGCTGGGATTTTGGCGGCCATTCCACAGTCGACAATAGCGCAGCCACCCGGACAGGACAGCGCAGGCCTGCACTCCAGGGCCAAAATCTGCCCGGGCCTCTTGTTTGGGTGACCGAGGGGGAGGAGCAGGCACAGAGCAGCATCCTGGCCTTGCCACGCAGAAGGTACGGCTGGAGAGGTTCCCGCGGGAATGGGGAATGGGCTGGGGCGGCGTGTGCCTCGGCCGGCGCTTTGTGTGCAGCAGAGCGGGCAGGCGGGCAGCATGCGTGCGCTCCCCGACTGCAGGAAGAAGGCCTGTGTGTGCGCTCCTGGAGTGGCTGTTCCGCCCAGCTTGGCCTGCCCTGCGTGGCCGGCCAGGGCGCTGGCCAGGCGGGCTCTGCTGCCCCGAGCCCCAGGAGGGCGGGCGGAAAAGGCGGAGGGGGAGTGTCCGGCCCCCGCTCAGGTTTGTCTGGCAGGGCAGGCTGGGTATGCTTTTGTGTGTTGCTACCCGGGCTGGCCGCCTGCCGCCCCACCCCCTTGCGTCCTGCTCTCGTTTGGGGACCGCCAGCTCCTGCTCCCCTCCCCCTGCTCCTACCCCCAGCGGTCTCTGCGGGGCTGTCCTCCAGACCGCGGAGGAAGCTCGCTGCGCCTTTAAAGAAAGCAGACTCCTGGCTGTGACGCACTTCTGGCTGTCAGCCAGGAAGATCGCTCCAGCCAGGCCGACTGAGAAGAAAACCAACAACTTTTCTTTTGTGTGTGGGGTTACTTTTCACTGCCCCCCTCCTCCTGTCCTTTCAAGATTTAAATGCTAATGGCGGATTAAAACCTGTAGATACGGTTGGCTTTAGGAATCTGGTAAGGCCCCCCCCTGCACCGAGACTTTTCCTCCTCACTCTTTCTCTGGGTTTTTGTTCAAACATGGATGAGGGTGGGGTGGATTCTCCCCCTCACTCCCTTTGCTGCGCCATCCTAAATGGGAGGGAGGGGAGAAGGAGCGCAAGTAAACAGAGGGAAGGCAGGCGCCGAGCCTCTCGCCAACATCCGGGAGTTGGCGCCTTTCGCCCAGGGCCGCTCGCTGTCCTCCTGCGCTGCGTGTCAGTGTTTTTGTTCCGAGGGAAGCGCGTGCGCCGCCGCGCTGGAGCCGTACGGACAGTCGGCGGCCTTCCCTCTTCCCCGGCGCCCCTGCTTGTGCGCGGTGGTGGACAGTGAAACAGGTTCACTTTGCCAGTGGCAGGGTCCTACCTGGGTGTGTGGATGCCGTGGTGGGGCGGGTGCTGCTGAACTGCTGGAGCGCTGGCCTTGTGTGCGCTCAAGCGTACAGTATCTGGCCGCAGGCCGCAGGTCCACTTCATGCTTGCAACCTTTCTGTTCACATCTTTCAAATCTGGACCCCACGGAGTATGGGGAAAAGGGACGGATATCAATAAGCTACTTGTGAAGAAACCAAGGAATATGGGCTTCCCCTCGGAGTGTCCCTTATTCCTTTCCAGGGCCTCAGAATTCTCGGCCAAACTCTAGGTGACAAGACAGTCTCAAACAAAAAAACCTAAGAGTAGATATCTTGCTGGTGCGTCCCCTGCCGTGGAGAGTGTAAAAAGGCCAAAAGGACCAGCAGGTCCATGAGAGGCCATGGCCTCTTAGGTTTTTTTGTTTGAGACTGTCTTGCCTTATCCAGGCCACTTTTGGGCTCCTGGACTCAAGCGATCTTCCTGCCTCAGCCTCCTCCTGTACTTGGTACTACAGGCACATATCAGGCCATCCTATCCGTTTTGGTTATTATAGTGAATTATCCTGTAATAAGGTAGCTTGGCCTTTGCTGGGCCTCTCTAGGGTACTCCTCCAGATGAGGTCTGGGTGGTTGCTTTCCTGTCTCCTGATCTATCCCTCCCAGAACCGGGGGAGGAGGAGTCCCAAGATCATGGTGTTTACCCTTTGGAGGCAGGTGTTGCTCAGATAGGAGGAGTATCTCTTTTAGAAAGGGGCAGAACATGGAATTTTAATGGCTGTTGGCGGGCAGACTCCCACGGTCAGAGGTGCTAACTTTTGCCATTGAGGTTGAGCACATAGATAGAGCAGCCATTTTCTTAGCTGGGAGTCGGTAAAGCTTTGGAAGCATAGAGCAGAGAGGTAGTTGGGGCCTGGAGAAAAGCTCCTTAGGGTGGGAGCATGAGTGACCCTGAAATTTTGGGAGTGGGAGCTAGCACTAAAAGAATGAGGTTCACTTGACACAGGGGCGCCAGAGCTGAGAGATCAGGACAGTTTAGCAGCTCTCCAGAGCAAAGGTCATTTTGGTGTTATCTTGAGGTAAGATGGTGTTCAGGCAGGCAATAAGTGGCTGAGAGGCACTCTCAAGGGAACTGGCACCCATGCTGGGGGCGGGGCATGGAGAGCAGTGCTGCTCCCACTCAGACTGGCCTATCACTTGAGATCTCTTAAAACTGCTGCTCTTTCAGAACAGAGATCCCTGAGCTCAGCAACCTGACCCTCTGGTCCTGGTCCTTGCATCTGGGCAGGTGGTTTGCATTAGCTTCAGTCCTGGTAGGAAACCATGGCTAGGCTTTAACTCTTTAAGGTCCAGAACTCTTTAAGGTTCAGGCTATATGTTTCTTGAGTATCACTTTCCTTGTCCTGACATCGTTTGTGGAAACATAAAGGGCTTCCTGTAAACGTGGGAATTGGTCCTGATGGGGAGCTGCATTAGTCCCTTTGGGAAGTGTAACAAAGATGTAAGTTTACAAGGCCTCTGTTGCTGTGTCCCAGGCCTTTGTGGACCAGGGAGAAGGTAAGGGAGCGTTTCCAGCTCTAGGAAGCCTCAGTTTTAGATTCTGGGGGCTTCCCCCCCCCCACCCCCCGCCAAGGAACCAGGTAGGTAGGAACTCTGAAGCTGTCCTCTGGGCCTGGCCTGCATTCTGGGAATTTTGGTTTTCTGTTTGTGGATTTGGGGTGATGGTGGTGCCTGATCTGATCAAATTGGGGTGTATCTCAGCAGATCCTTCTGTGAAATGCTTCCAGGCTGCAATGGCAGGCATCTGGTTTTCCATCACCATCACCCAGCCTTCTGGGTGGGGCCTGCCTCAGATTTCAGGGGGAGGGTGGGGAGGATGGTGCTCTGGCTGAGAGCCCTTGGGTTCCAAGCCAAGGCTACTTAAAGCTGTAGTTGCAGTGCTGAGCACTAGCAGGGACACTGGCTTCAATCATTCATTACCCTAAGAAGCTGTCAGTACCAGTGAGCAGCTGAGCTGTGCTAAAGCCACTCTCTCTGGTATCCTGAGGAAGTAAGTGTTTCTTTGCCTTTCATGACAAGGTCCTTCAGGAGTTCTTACCATTAAGTATTGGATTCCTCCTATTCTGTGTCGCATTCAGCCTTGACACCAGTTTTCTTGAGTCTGTCTAGAGACAGGCTCTGTTGGGAGGACCTAAGGGTTTTATGTTTTGCCTCTGAGATGAAGAAAAGAGGTTGGTTAAGCCTCAAGTCATTTTTGGCAGCACAGTTGTGGAATATTTCAGGGAGCAAGGTCTACCTCCTTTTGCAAATAAGATTTCTGACTGAAGTGTTGGGCCTCCTTGAAGGTCTGCAAGGCAGTGGTGGGGATGGGGGAAGGTGATCTGGACCACAATTCCCTTGTTATTGAATAGCACAGAGATGTTTTTTAAAAAGAAATGACAGGCATGGTATGGTTCATGTCTGTAATCCCGGCTGCTCCGGAGTTGGCGTTCAGGAGGATCCAGGCTTTAGGGCCCTGAAAAAAAAAAAAAGACAAGAAACCCTATTTGAAAAAAATAAAGCTGAGTTAAAACCTCAGTACTACCAAACAAACAAACAAAAAGCCACAGTTGAGGAGTTGTCTGTTGCTACCTTTACCCTACGGGCTGAGCATATAGCCTGTAGCTGTAGGCTGGCCAGGCACCAGAAAAGCCTTATTTCATTGCATTAGTTGAGGTCATCTGGGCCTGGATCCAAGGACGAGGTAGTCAGTGCCCACAGATAGGCCATTCTTGGAGGAAATCATCCAAGACTGAGGAACTTGTGGGCCCCTTACCTTTTCTATCCTGAGAGCTCCCTTCACCATTTCCCTTGCCGCTACCAAAGCCCAGGTGAATTGGCTCCTTTCCAAGACTGCTGATGTTATGACAGGTGGAGTCATGTTGGGTTTTGCAGGGTTAGGAAGTACTTTATTATAATTAGCACCTAGTTATACTTAGCATTTAATTATTTTCTTCTGCTGGTAATTCATGTCTATTTAGTTTTACTCCTCACTCTGCTATATAAACCCCCCAAAGGCAAGGGCAATGCCATTGTCTCTATTTTTCATGTAGCTTCTAGGACAGAAAGAACATATATAAGACTAAAAATATACCTTTTGGTTGGCTGATAAGCAGAGTGCACTTGAATAGGAAGTACCAAGAGATGAGGGGGAGTGAATTATCAGATTTATATATCTCTTTCTCCTTACCTGACAGTCAGCACCTTTTGGGCAAGAGTGGTGTCTTTATCTCCACACCTTGCATACAGAAAGTGCTTAGCAAATGTTGGTTCCATAGAACCTGCACCTTAGAGATGCTATTATATGGGGAGATTTATAGATGAAGTGACTCTTATCACTATCATTTCTCTTTCTAAAATAGTGCTAGAAGGTGGCTGATTGTGCCCACAGAAATTTGTAGGAACCGTAGGGGCTGTTAGGAGGTATTGAGGAATATTTACTCATCGTCTGTGGTCCCACGGGTAGGTTGGCAGGCAGATGGCTGATTCCCCATGGCAAAGGAAATTGGGGGTAAAAATACCAGAACAAGTGCCTAACCTTTCATTAAATGTCCCCTAGGAGCTCCTCCATAATGAGGCTTAGCTTTGTCTGGAAACCTTGGTTTGGATCTGTCCAGTCCCTTATTTCAACCATGTCTGTTTTTAATATTACAAGTCGTAAAAAATCCAGAAATTGATTTCTCCAAGGACTTGGTTATTGTTAGGTAGAATTTGGATGCCTGCAGAAAGGAGCAAGAAACCAACTTCTCTGTTTAAGAACAGTGATCCTTTATTGAATTCTTACCTTGCACCAGACAGTGCACTATTTGCATTATCTTTAAACATCATAGTAAGCTAGAGAGGTATTTGTGGATCTGTTTTGCAGATGAAGATAGTGAGGCCAAATGAGGCTGTGTTAACTGTGCAAAGTCACATGAGCATGGTCTCAGGAAATCAGTGTCCAGACCTAGATCTGTCTGAAAAACCAGTTTTTCCGTGTTTAAAGGCTCCATGCCCCAAAGACCAGGGTTAACATTCAAGTTTGAATGTTGCGTTTTGTGAAACAAAGATCGCGTGGGAAGTTTGTGAACGTTGAACTGAGTGTTGGTCTTCACATGATGAGCTTTATAGTAATTTTCACGTGCTCTGAGCTCTGTCAAATTCCCATGGTGCCTCAGAGGCACGAGTGCTGATTGGAGAGGGAGCTGTTTAAGCATTCAGAGCCGATAAATGGAACCATTTCTCCTTGACTCCTTGATCATGGATCTTGATACAACTAACTGCTCTTCCTCTCTTAGGTTCCAGGTACATTGGTGTGACAGTCTGGGATCACCAAGATGACACTGCACACCACACGGGCGACTGCACTCCTCTCTTGGGTGAGTAGTTGTGCTTTCTTTTGTTTGTTGTGCTCTTTCAGGAAGCTGCAGAGGAGTTTTCTAGGCAACAGGGCTATGCAAAGTCTTCCCACTTCCAGACCAAGTATGGTTTTCGATTGCCTTTCCCCTTTGACTTTAATAACTTGCCTCATTTCCAAAGACATTGCTGCTGGCAGTGGTCTGTGCTCTCCACTTTCATAGCTCAGCAGGGGGTCCTCTGAGGTGCACATTGCCTTTGGTTGAGAGAAGGGTGCTCACAGGACATCATGGAGATCCGTCTTCATTTACTCTGACTAAAGGTTGACTATGAACTTTCATAACCAACTTTGCAGGGACTTTGGTCTTCAAAGGCTTTTATTCTTAGTCAAGATTCTCCTCACCTTTATTCTGTTTCTCTCTGCTCACATTGTCCTTATGGTATTTTTTTTGGTGATACTGGGGTTTGAACTCGGGGCCTTCACCTTGAGCCACTCCACCAGCCCCATTGGTTTTGTGTGTGTGTGTGTGTGTGTGTGTGTGTGTGTGTATGTGGAGGGTTTTTCCAGATAGAGTCTAACAAACTATTTGCCTAGGCTGGCTTCAAACTTCGATCCTCCTTATCTCTGCCTCCTGAGTAGCTAGGATTACAGGTGTAAGCCACTGGCGCCCAGCTTCTGGTACCTTGTTGATTATTTCACCTAAATTCTTCTGTTAGGTATCTCATGTATTTTCCTCCTGAGACAGTGGCAAATAAGAAAATAATACTGAGCATTGGACATTTTAAAGTTACAGAGGAGGCCATGTAGCCCGGTGCCGGTGGCTGATGCCTGTAATCTTAGCTTCTTAGGAAGCAGAGATCAAGAGGATCATGGTTTGAAGCCAGCCAGGGCAAATAGTTTTCGAGACCCAATCTCAAAAAAAAAAAAACCCGTCACAGAAAAGGGCTGGTGGAGTGACTCAAGGTGTAGGCCCTGAGTTTAAACCCTAGTACTGCCCCCCCCCAAAAAAAAAAAAAGAGGCCATGTGATGATGAGATGAGTATTGGCCTTGGAATCAGACAGCCCAGCTTAGAATCAAAACCCCGGCTCCTGTGCAACCCAGGGCAAGTTAGCCTCTTAGCATCTCATTTGGAAAATAAGGATAGTAATGCCACATGGGGTAATTATGAGGATAATGAGATGTTTAGTATACACACACACACACACACACACACACACAACCACTTTGTCACTTTTCAGACAGGGTCTTGCCATGAGGCCCAGACTGGCCTCCAACTTGAGATCTTCTTGGGAATGCAGTTTTTAGTTGTCCACTTTAAATTGAGTGTTTTATTTTTTTATTTTTACATTTATATTGCATTTTAAGTTTTTATTTTTCGTGGTATTGGGGATTGAATTCAGGGCTTGCTAGGCAGGTCTACCACTTCAGCCATGCCACCAGCCCTTTTTGCATTGTTTATTTTTGAGATAGGGTCTTGCTTTATGCTAGGACCTCCTATTTGTATGCTGGAATGACAGGCACCTGCCACCACATCCAGCTTTTCGCATTGAGATGGGGGTCTCTGGAAGTTTTTGCCTAGGCTGGCCTCGCATCAAAATCCTCCCAACCCTGTCCCTCCCAAGCAGTTAGAATTACAGGCTTGAACCACTGCTCCTGGCCACATTTCAGTGTTTTAGATCTGTATTAGAAACACTGTCAATTCTTCCTCCTCCTTTCTTCAACCTGCAGGTGGGGTGGGGTGTGTGTGGGGAGGAAGCCTGACTGGATTATAATAGGGAGCCATGAGCTATGTCTATAGTTCAGTAGATCCAACTATGGATACTGGGGGCTCCTCTAGGCACATTGCTTTGTTGATTGTCTTATATATTTATTTATGTTCTAGGCTTATCTTTACAGTGACTACTATCATCAGAAAGAATAGATATGATTTAGTTGTTTGGTTTTTTTTTTTTTGCGGTACTGAGGCTTGAACTCAGGGCCTTCACCTTGAGTCACTCTACCAGCCCAATTTTTGGGTTTTTTCAAGATAGGGTCCCACAAACTCTTTGCCCAGGCTGGCTTCGAACCATGATCCTCCTGATCTCTGCCTCTTGAGTAGCTAGGATTTATAGGCGGGAGCCACCAGCACCTGGCTCACTGTTCTGTTTAATAGCAAATACTTGTATGCTTTTTCAAGCCATAGTGAACATGCATTAAAATATTAAAGTATAGTTATGTGGAATTTTTTCAGTTTAATCAAAAGTTATGCAGCTAAAATGAATTTTATGAAACTAGCAGCATGAAATACAACTTCTGTTATGTATATATTACATACATAGGATAATTACAACTGTGGTTGTAAAACAAATACATAGGGAAAAAATTCTAGAAAAAATTAAGAGCTGGAGGTATAGCTCAATGGTAGAGCACTTGCTTAGCATGCACAAGGTCCTGGGTTCATTCCCCACACCATAAAAAAGAAAAATCAAAATGCGAAATACATGTATGAAAAATGCTGTCGTGAGTGGGAAGGTGTTTTTGTTCAAGTTTTCGGTAACTTTTATTTTGTTTTACTTAAAGTGTAGTTTGAAATTATTCTGTAACAGCCTGTGGTAATGACTAAACAGCTGCAGGGAATTTTAAGACTCAGCAACTTTGATCAGCCTGGAGCAACTTGAAGACCTTGCAGGCAGCTCTTGTCCTCACACCGCACTCATGATGAGAGACAGCAGTCGCTCCACTTCTTTACCTTGACATGATTGATTACTCCGCTGAGGGTAAAGTAATTCACAGAAGGAAAAAGTATTGTTGGATCATTACTTAATTGGGATAAGCTATGCATCAGATTGCTTAGGTGACTTTAAGCCAGGTAACTGGTGGGATTTTTCAGTCTTGTGAAGGAGAATTAGTTGTACCCTTTGAATGTTCTACCTAGATAGCAGTTATTAAAAGGAGGTGGCTTGAGATGCCTTTTTTTGTGTGTGTGGTACCGGGACTTGAACTCGGGGCTTATACCTTGAGCCATTCACCAGCCCTTTTTGTGCTAGATATTTTCGAGATAGGGTCTTGTGAACTATTTGCCCAGGCTGGCTTTCGAACCATGATTGTCCTGAGCTCTGCCTCCTGAGTAGCTAGGTTTACAGGTGTGGGCCACTGGCACCCTGCTGAGATGCTTACATCTGGGCAGCTTCTGTATTTTCAAAAGGGATCTTGGTTGAAGTTTTCAGAATCTTCGAAGAAAACATAGACTGACTTAGCCCCCCCAATTACACTGAGATTTTTTTCAAAAGATAGTATAAATAAATATATTGTCTTAAGACTTCAATGTACGACCAATGAGAGGTCGTACTTTATATTCCACACATTAGCAATACTGGGGTTTGAACACAGGGCCTCTAACACTTGAGCTATGCCCCCTTTACTTATTTTTCAGCTACAGTCTCACACTTTTTGCTCCAGTGGGCCTTGGTCTTCGATACTCCTACCTAGGCTTCCGATGTAGCTGGGATTACAGACATGTAGTGCACTACCTTGTCTGACTTGTTTGTTGAGATGGCATCTTGCTAACTTTTTGCCTGGGTTTGGCCTTGAACCACAGTCCTCCTATTTCTGCCTCCCAAGTAGCTGGGATTACAGGTGTGAACTATCTTGCCCAGCCCCAGACTGGCCTCTTACCTCCTGGGCTCAAGCAATTCTCCCACCTTAGCCTCTCTAGTAATTGGGACTGTAGGTTTACCCAGCTGAAATTATTATTCAAAAGCCTTTCCTTCCTCTGGTAATAACAGGTAAACCTGAGTCCAGGTTTCTCCTGAACCTGAGTGCCTGTGGAATTCAACCACAGGTTTTCCTGTAGAGGTTATTTAACATCCCTGTTGAAGAACCTGTGCCTGAGTTGCTTGCATGTGACCCCTGGTTTATTTTCAGGTTTTAAAGACTGATTCAGATGGATGGTTTTCTGAAGCCAAGTAAAAGGAACGGACAGCTGAATCAGAATTGAAAGTTTTTGTCTGTGGGGTTCCCAACTCGTCTTTACCTTCTCTTTTTTTTTCTTTCCTCTTTTGGCGATACTAGGGTTTGAACTCAGGGCCCCTCACTTGCAAAGCAGGTGCTCTACCACTTGAGCCACTTTTCTGTGTTGGGTATTTTTGAGATAGGGTGTTGCTTTTATTGTCTGGACTGACCTCGAACTATAGTCTTCCTGATCTCTGCCTCCCAAGTAGTGAGGATTACAGGCATGAGCCACCAGCACCATGTCTTTTTTATTTTTTCTTTTTATAATTGTCTTATTGTCATTGTTTATCCTTCCTTGAAAAGTTTTCTCTCTAGAAATAATTTTTACTTATTCATTTATTTTGAATAATGGGGTTTTAACTCAGGGACTTCCTCTTTTTAAGCAGATACTGTACTCCTTGAGCCACACCCAACAGCCCTGGAGAGAATTCTTTTTAAACATTTTTATTAGCATATATTAGTTGTACAGGGGGTTTCATTGTGACATTTCCATATATGTTTACAGTGTACCTTGGTTTGGAAAGAATTTTTTAAATATATTAATGACAAGATTTTATACCTATTGGGGAGTGTACAACATGTAATATTCAAGTGTCAGATAAAATTCAGGAGCTACAAAGGGCTGCAATATAAAAATTCAAGAGATAAAAGGGGTTCCAATGTAAACATTCCAGAGATACAAAGGATGGTAATGTAAAAAAGCCTTTCTTTTTCCTACCTCAGGCTGTCTGCCATCCAGTGTCTTTCTCTCGAGGGAAGACGTGCTAGTAAGAAATTACAGAGGGTTGAGAACTTATTGTACCTCTTTGTATTTAAGTGTGCCCTGGTACCAGCCTGTACTGGAATAGAGTAAGCTTGTTAAAGCTGCCATATCCTACAACTGTGGGCACCCTGTGAGAAGAGAGGCGCCAGCGTCTGGGGAAAGGAGCTAACCACACCCTGTGGCATTTCTAACAGTCTCACCAGGCTCTTCCCTTTGGCTTGCAGGTAAACAGTCTTCGTGTGGCTGACCCTGTGGAGGCCTTGCAGCAGCTCCAGGACTGCACTGTCTTTATCAGGATCATTAATAGCATGTGAGTATGCAGTCCCACCTCCCAGGAGCTGATTGCTAGGGTGGGACTGGACTGCATTTCCTTGCTTGGTGGGTTGTGACCTAAAAGCAGGGGTGAGACTGGGACGTCAAATGCCTGGGTGGGTCCAAAGGCCAGCACTTTGACCTCACCCTAAAGCCACTGGGCCTCTCTGGGAGAGGTTTCAGGTTTGCCCCCTCTGAAAGCTTCCTCAGTCTTACATAAAAGGGCCTCCAAGGCCTCCCCATTGTCTTCCCCACCCTCTCGTATAAACTCTCTGTTAGCAACCTCAGGGACCAGGAATAAGAAAGAGGAAGACGCTCTTACATTTCAGAGAGTTAGCACAGTGTAACCATTATAACATTCCTAATCCGTTATAGCATTTCCAATATTTTTTTTGTTGTTGGTACTAGGATTTGAACTCAGGGCCTATACCTTGAGCCATTCCACCAGCCCTTTTTTTGTGATGGTTTTTTTCGAGATAGGGTCTCATGAACTGTTTGCCTGGGCTGGCTTCGAACTGCAATACTCCTGATTGTCTCTGTCTCCTGAGTAGCTAGGATTATAGGTGTGAGCCACTAATGCTCAGTCTTTTTTTTTTGAGATAGGCTTTCACTGTGTAGCTTAGGCTGGACTCAAAACTTGTTATACAGCCCAAGGCTGGCCTTGAACTTGTGATCCTCTTGTTTCTACTTCCCAATTATAATGTATACTTCCATGCCTGGTTGAATTGATTGGGTTTCAATCAATGTTAAGTGACCAGATGAATGAGTGAAAGTATAGTGGGGTTCTCTGTCACCAAAGTCTAGTAGCCAAGGACAGGTGAGTCCACTAGAGTGGATTTTATATTATTTTTTAAATGTATGATGGTAGTGGGGTCCCTTACAAGATTTTAAAACCTGCTTTAGTGTCTCTGAAAGCTCTCGTTGGTTCAGATATGCCATTTTTTCTCCCAGTTACCCAGGCAAGGCTTTCAGCAGCATCCTGCTCTCCTCAGCACTAATTTCTAATAGGTCACCGTCCTTTCCCTTTGTCCATTAGAAGACTTATCACTTCCCTTTCTCTGCCTCATTCTGGATATCAGGACCTCCTGGCCTTGTTCTTCTCTGGTTCCTCCTTGCAGTCCATTCCTATACCGATGGTCTCCAGAATCTTCCTCAAATCCTGCTTTCATTGTGACACTTAAGCAACTTGTCATTGCTAGTAAATTGAAATCGACAACCATTAGCCTAAGGACTGGGGTTGTAGCTCAGTTCTTGCTCAGCATGTACAAGGTTCTGGGTTGCATCCTTAGCCCCAAAAACAAAAATTTGTAGTCTGTTGGTCAAGATCTTTTATCAAGCTGAGCATGAGTGGTGCATACCTATGGTTCCAGCTGCTCCAGAGGCTAAGATGGGAAGTTGCTTGAGTCCAGGAGTTAGAGACCAGCCTGGGCAACATTTGAAACCATATCTCAAAAACCCCAAAACAAAACAACAATAAAAATACCTTTCATTAGAGACTCATTTCTTACCAATTTTGTTTCCTGCTTGCTTTTCTCACCCTACTTCATCCCATTGTTTTGGTGCTGTGGAACTTCCTGAATCCTGGCTTTAAGTAATTGTATCCTTGTGGTGCTGCTTCTTTGTTGCTGTGTTCTCCTTGTTGATATTTAGGTTAAGGTTCTTTTTACAAGAATTTATAGGTAGGGTTGTAAACCACCTATAGCCAGCAATTTATTAATACTAACAAAAACCATTATTTTGCAGACCCAGTGAAGTGATAGTCTAGATACCTAGCAGCGATGGCTGGTAAATCCACTAGGCTGCCAATATTTAGCCCACTGTTTAATTTTACCACCACTAAAAAGAGAGAACCAGGTATAACGTATCTTTTGGGTAATATATAATCAAGAACAGTTTTCTTTTTTCACTTCAAAGTAAGTCAAGGAGCTTTTGCTTTTGAAAAGATAAATTTCCTTGGCCTGATGACGAGAACAATAGATGTATCTAAGAGTAAAGATGTATGTTTGTCCTTGGTTTATAACCTGGGAAAAAACTTTCATAGGAAATTCAAGATGCCTGTTTTCCAAATTGTTTCTAGGGAAGGCAGGAGGGAGAGAATGAGAGTCAGAAAAATTAATAGATACGGAGGTAGTGGCGATTAAAATCCCAGGTTGCCCTAACCTCCAGGCAATACAGAGTAGCTGTCTTTGGAAAGACAGATTTTTTTTTTTTTCTTTTTTTTGTGGTACTGAGGTTTGAACTCAAGACTTCATGCTTGCTAGGCAGGCACTCTGCCACTTGAGCCACTTTGCCAACCCTTTTTTGTGTTGGGTATTTTTGAGATATGGTCTCATAATCTATTTGACCAGGCTGGTTTCAAACCATGGACTTCCTGATCTGTCTCTTGAGTAACTAGGAATACAGGTGTGAACCACCAGCACCTGGCAAGACAGACATTCTTGGTTAAAGTGTTTGGCTATGCATCTCTGATACTGCTACTGATGCTGACCTAAATCAGAAATGTCATTCCAAAAGGATGGTAGTAGAGGTTGGCAGGATTGGGGAGCAGAGAGAAGCTGTGGGAATTGGGCAGGGCTGGGCATGTGGCCTTCTTTGTGGGACGATGCATTGGCATCAGCTTATGACACTTTTCCTTGTTCTTTTGTGAATGAACACCTAAAGCAAAAAGGCTGTCCTATCTCTTTGATGGCTGTGATGCTTGAATAGGAAAGGAGACTGGAGGCATTTTGCCAACAAAACTAAAGCCCTGACATTCATCTTTCTGATGTTGACCTCTGCTCGTTCCAGTAAAAAGCATCTCTCAGCTGTCAGTCATATGAATGCACCGAGCACCTGTTAGATGCCTTGTGTTCAGCCAATACAGTTAGCAAGTGAGCAGTTGTAAGTAGTGCAGTTGTATTCCCAAGTGCTGTAGGACTACTTGGGAAGGTGATGGAGGCATGACCAGCTGTAGTTCAGGATGGTTCCCTGTTAGAGCTGACACTTGAACTCATTGTAAAAGTCTAGGCAGGATTTCTCTAGGAGTAGCATTTTCCAAAGCATATTCCATGCAGCTTTACTTATACCAGGAGCTTAGGGAGGAAAAAGGTTTATAATCAAACAGGGTTAGGAAGTAATATATCCTCTTCTGTAGAAAACTGTCCATGCTGAATGATGGGCCATGTCCATAGTCCCAGTTACTTGGGAGGTTGAGGGAGGAGGATAACATAAGCACACAAGTTTAAGATCAAACTGGACATCATAGTAAGACACTTACCCGCAACTCCCTACCTGCATCTCAAAAACAGAAAACTAGGGCTGGGGGTGTAGCTCAGTAGTAGAGTGCTTGCCTGGCATGCACAAGGCCCTGAGTTCAATCCCCAGCACTGCAAAAAAACCCAAAAAACAACCAACCAAAAACAAATAAACTCCCAGAAAACCAAAAAAGAAAATTATCAGTTTAGTTTAACCTAGAATTTTTTCAAACATTGAACTGGAAAGTCTTTATTTGTATTTTGTATATACTACTCTACACTTAAGATACTCCCATCTGTGGGTGGATAGGGAAGACGGCTCATTTCAAAGTCAGGCCAGGCACTGGTAATCCTAGCTACTCAAAGAAGGCAGAGATCAGGAGATCTGTGGTTTAAAGCCAACGTCCGGCAAATAGTTTGCAAGGCCCTATCTTGAAAAGATCCATCACAAAAAAGGTCTGGTGGAGTGGCTCAAGAGGTAGAGCATCTGCCTAGCAAGTGTGAGGCCCTGAATTCAAATGCCAGTACAGCCAAAAAAAAAAAAAAAGTCAGTGAGATTAGCACCTCCTCAAGAGTTTGTAGGACTCCTTAATCTCAGGCCAGCTACCCAGAATGCCTCTTGCAAGCTTCCTTAGGAAGAAGCCTTTGAAATCATGTGGAAGATGGGGGCGAGGGGGAGGATACTCATGGTCTTGGGTTGGATGCTCCTTGTGCCTTACAGACTATCTGGCACTGGAGTTCTGCCCTCCTTTCCACAAGGTTGGCTGAGACCTGAGGATTAGTCTCTCTAAGTGTTGTCTAGATAGAGTTCAGCTTTGTAACCTGATGTGTACTTTCACCCGTTTCAAGAGGTAAAGAGATAGTCATCTGAAAAATGAAGCTGCAGTTAGAGTGAACGCTCACTGGCCACAGACCGGCTATGTGAGAGCGCCCCCTGCTGCCTCGCTCCCTCACTGCTCTCTTTGTGCTTTGCTTTTGCTGTTAAACATGTGAGGGTCAGGGAGCAAGGACAGCTCAAGAGTGATTTAGCTGTATGGTTCCAGACCAGCCCCGGCTACAAAGTAAGACTCTGTCTCAGAAGACTCTAGCTGTCTTTCCCAGGCTTCCTGACCTTTTACAGTTGAGTCATTCCAAACTGTCTACCCTAGCTTCCCATTCATCTGTGCTGTCTCCATTTCTTCATTACATGTTGCAAATGCAATGACAGTGTGTCCTCTTTTCTAGAAAGACTCCATGCTTCAAGTCCCCACTTCTCACTTACCACACAGTTCTATCTGAATAAATGGTGTTCTGCCATCTTCTTACTGCCTCTAGGATCTAGTCTGGTTCTCTCCCAAATCCAGCATAAAACAAACTTAAAGGTGGGGAAGTAGAATATAAGCAAATAGGGCCAGAGATTGTTAAGTACTATAGTCTTAACACTTGGTCTTTTTCTAGCCATGGCACTGAAGAAGGGCAGCAAATCCTGCAGCAGCCGGTGCCTGAGAGACTGGACTTTGTGTGCAGTTTTCTGCAGAGTAAGCACCTTTCTTATCTAGCTGGGCAGCTCTGGCTTCTGGGGTTTGGGAGAACAGAGGTGCCAGTCAAAGGTGTCTGGAGGAGAAAGGATGCAGAGTCCCTAGTCTAGCACAGGATGAATACAGCTGGATCAGCCTCCCTGAGTATTGTGATGCCTCCCCTGGTCAGTATCCCAGAGCTCATCTCAGGTCCAGGTAGAGCAAAGGGTCACTTTTTGGCACTCATCACCTTGGTCTTTTGTTCCCTCTGCCCCCCTTTGAAGAGACAGGAGAAAGGAGAGGATCCCTGTTACCTTCTTTCCTTCGAAAGAAAACAGTTTTCTCTAGATAACTTTCCCTTGGTACCCTAGATAATTGCTTAGGCAATGGGTATAGGGACGGAGGCTGATTTAGGCTGACTTATCGACTCTGCCTTGTACCATTCTGAACATAGATTCCCTGTCTGTAGTATAGAAATGTTGACAATTGCTCTTCAGATAGATGGGAGGATTAAGTAAGAACACGTGACATTTCTAGCACAGTGCTTGTCAGCTCCTCTTCCCTGGTTCAGCCTTAGACTACACACTTGTTGCCTTTGACATGGGAACCTCCCTCAAGAGAATAATAGAGAAGGTGAGAATTTATCTAGATAAAGCAAGGAGTTAATAGCTGATCCTGGGCCCTGGCAGCATAGGGGTCAGGTGTTCTCAGTTGCTCTACTGTGACTCAGCTGCAGGATTCTGTATGCTTTAATTGGAATAGGACTTTAGAGTAACCTGGGATCTCTGGGCTTCCTCTGTGGTGCTAAGAGGGAGCTGGAGAGTGGGCAGGTTAAATGCAGTATCCTGATGCAGAGTTGCTGTGAGTCCCCAGCCTACTTTTTTTCTTGCACTATCCCTGCAGTTCTTGGACTGACCCAGGATAGAATAGGCTTCAGATGAAAGTCTAAGGCAGGTGAGAGAGGGTTTAGGAATAAGAAGCCCTGCATCTCGTAATCCCTCCAGAGGCTACATTTCTACTTCTCACACTTGGGTGTTCTGAGGGCCTCAGGTATGGTTCCCAGGGAGTTCACTGTTTTCTACATTGTTGTCCTTACAGAAAATCAAAAACATTCCTCTTCTCCAGAATGCTTGGTATCTATGCAGAAAGTGATGGAGGGGTCAGAGCTGGAACTGGCCAAGGTACTTGGAGGATTCCAGATTTGGGGGAGGGGGAGAGAGGCTGAGGGACCTGCAGGCCTTCTCTCAACCCAAAGTGGGGGTGGTGGGTGCTTTGTTTTTAGGGCCCTTGGAAGCTGGAGGTAGTACCAGACAGCCACCTGTGTCTGAGCCAGAGGCCAATTCTGTCCAAGGATCCTAGAAGTCTGTGATCTTCTGACAGAGAGGTTTACTAGACCAACACTGAGGGCCACGATGGAGACCTGGCAGGAATCAGGTCTCACCCAGTGATCATATTTTTCTTTTTAGTTCAGTTGACTTCATTCTCTCTGTTGTTTCCCGGCGCTGGCCTGAAGAAGGGGCCTTAAGATTTAAGCCTGGGAACTTAGCTGTACAGGAATCCTGACACCTGGCTTTTTGCACAGTGTGCATGGAGTCCTTGGTGAAAAACAATGAAGTATCTTCTGGGGTTGTTAAGGATGGTAGCCTGGAACTGCTGATTAAAGGAATTTTGGAAGACAGTAGCTCAACGTCCCCAAAACAGTGGGAGTACTGGGAAGAGAGACAGCCCCACTCAGTGGCTGCCTCCTGTTTGGCTTCTAGATGACAATGCTGCTCTTATACCATGCTACCATGAGCTCCAGAAGCCCCCGGGACTGGGAGCAGTTTGAATATAGGATTCAGGTATGCTCTTGCATCTCTACCCCACTTGTCTGCCAGCCTGGACTTCCCTCACTCTGTGTTCTTACCTTTGAACAGTGCATCTTGTTCTCTGAAAAACCATGACTGTAGTAATAGCAGCCATTTATTGTAGAAAATCTGGAAAATACTGAGAGGCACAAAAAAGAAAATAATACTTGCCAGTAATCTCGTTCTCATACATGACTGCTAACTTTTTAAAGGACAGACTTCAGAGTCTTTTTTTTTTTAACTGTTCTGTGTATTTGGATAATACATAGAAATTATTCTCCTTTCATAAATGTGCCCCTGCATAATGCATTCCACATACCTCATTCTTTCCTCCAGTAGGGTTTTCTGAAAGAGGGCAGCATAGTTAGGACTAAAAGCTTTCTCCCTGTGCCGCCTTCTTTGAAGTCAGTTAAGAAGTGAAGTCTGTTAGAAACTTGGATTCTGGATCTGTAGGGAAGGCTGCAGGGGTGGAGCAAGTGGGGTGAGTGTATCTCTAGTCCACTGTGGTAGAGTGGGCACTGGGGCTTTGGCTCTGAAAGAAACAGTCCGATACAACAGGTTCTAGGACACAGGAGAACCTGGGATAGGCACTGCTGGGATGGAGTCCTGAGCCCACCCAGAAGCTTCTCTGACACCACAGTGACCCTCCTTTTCTCTTTCCGTGGCTCAGGCTGAGTTAGCTGTCATCCTGAAGTTTATGCTAGACCATGAGGATGGACTAAACCTTACTGAGGACCTACAGAACTTCTTGGAGAAAGGTGAGTAGGTCACTCCTGAGGATCCCCTCATCTCTGAGCAAAGGACTGCTGGGATCCTGGTTTTGATGAACTGGGGAAGGGTTTTAACTGTCCCAACCACAAAGCACAGAGTTGGCACTTAGAAATGGTGTGTGTGTGTTGGAGGAATGATTTCTGGGCTATGTTGCTAGTACCTCAGTTCCTGTGGTCCACCTCCCTGCTGCCTGGCAGTAGGTCAGCAGGGCGTTTATGAGTCATCTCTTCTGCTGTTAGGGTGTCCATGATCACCACCCCTATCTTTTTTTTTTTTTTTTTTTTTTTAAACATCACTACTCTAAGCTTAGAAGCTGGGGGATACATAGTCTCTTTTTAAGTAGGTTTTCCCATCATGAAGCTTACGTTCTAGGTGGAGGCAGATACATAAAAACCAGTAAGCATGATAAGGGAGCAAAGTACAGAATATGCCAGATGTCCTATTGGCCATATAATAGAAAGAGTGAGAGTTCTGCCAGTCTTCTGATAAAGAGTTCAGCTGATGATGATAGGAATAAGATGTAGGTCTGGGCAAGTTCTTTTCTGGCTGTTGAATTTGGTGTTCCTCTTGTTCTTCCATGGAAGCTGTAGGCACTGTAGGCAAAACAAAGAGGCCCGTCAGACGTCTAGTAGGAGGGGTTGAAGGATGGGGGAAGGAGAGGTGTGATGAGGTGGAGTCCTGCAAATGTGCTCATGGGAACCAAGGGAAGAGAAGGTTTGGAGAAAGAGTGTGGTATAAGAGCTCAAAATGGGTACGTTCTGGAAGGTCAGAGGCTCCAACATGAGAGCTGTTGGGGGTGGGGGGAACCCTGTACAAGACTTCCAAGCTGCCTCTGAGTGGTGGCACGAGGGACTCTCTCATGCCACTGTGCTTTTCTGAGCACTGATGCTCTGACAGATGGAAGCCTTGCACTTGATTTTGGTTAGAGACCCTGACCTCTGGGGTCAGGTGATGGAAGTCTTTCCTCCCTCACCCCCGCCCCTAACCTTTCTTGGTTTGTTTCTCTGCTTCTTACCCCTAGTTCCTGTCTCTTCCACCTGTTCCAGCACATTGTCTGAAGAGCTCTCCCCACCCAGTCACCATGCCAAGAGGGAGGTTCGCTTCCTAGAGCTACAGAGGGTTGCCTCCTCTTCTAGTGGGAACAAGTATGTCCTGGGCTTCTCTTCTTGGGAGGGGGCTGCCACACCCATCCTGTCCTCATTCCTTGTCTTCTGGAGACTAAGCGGTTGATCAGGTTCTTTTGTCTTCAGGGAGGGTTGGAGGATGCTGTGGGCCTTAGATTTCCTCATGTGAACCCTGAGGGAATCTGGGGCATTGGGAACTGTTTGGAATCTGTTATGGGTAGGCCTCCCTCAAAGGCTGTTTTTTGTGTGTGTGTGTGTGTGTGTGTGTGTGTGTGTCTGGGATTTGAACTTAGGTCTTCATACTTGTGAACAGGCACTCTACTACTACTACTACTTGAGCCATATTTCTAGTTTGTTTTGCTCTGGTTATTTTGGAGATGGAGTCTCGGAACTATTTGCCTGGGCTGACCTTGCACCATGATTCTCCCATTCTCAGCCTTCTAAGTAGCCAGGATTGCACGTGTGAGCCTTTGGCATCTGGTGTCAAAGGCAGTTCTTATTTAGGAGTTCCCTTCTTTCCTGGGGAATACATTCCCAGACTCTCCAACAAAGAACTTAAGGCACAGAGAAGTCAGAAGAAAAGTGTGTCTTGGTCATTTCATGAGACATGAGATAGCACTGCACGTGGAACCCAGGTGCATGGGCATCCCAACCTGTGCTCCCAGCTCCTACTCCACCCTTGCTCCACTTCCCTGTCTGCTAATGGTTATTTCAGATCTTAGGTTCTTACCTTGGATCTGTGCCATCTCCTTAGCTTCCTCTCAGGTTCTCCAGCCTCCCCTATGGGTGACATCCTGCAAACCCCACAGTTCCAGATGAGACGACTGAAGAAACAGCTGGCAGATGAAAGAAACAATAGGGATGAGCTGGAGCTGGAGCTGGCGGAGAGCCGCAAGCTCCTCACTGAGAAAGGTGGGTGCTTGGTACCCTATGGATGTGAGTGAACAGGCGGCATTTGGGGTTTTTATCCAGGGAAGCTCTGGGGACAGGTTAGCCTCCCATGTTGTTCCTGGAGCTTAGAGCACAGACCTGGGACAAAGGTCAGGCTGACTTTCCTGGAAGCTGGGTTTTGTTCTTGCCTCAGTGCCCCCTTTCCTGTAGATTGTACACTGTGTGTCTCCTCCTCCCTCTTTCTGCTCCCGTGGTTCTTTGCTGAGTCTTTTCTCCTCCCCATGCTGTGGGGCAGACGCACAGATGGCCATGATGCAGCAGCGCATTGACCGCCTGGCTCTGCTGAGTGAGAAGCAAGTGGCCAACTTGCCAGAGCCCAGAGAGCTTGAGGAGCTACATGGCAAGAATGAGAGGTAACAGCTCTTCCTGTCCCTCCCAGTTCCCAGCCCCTGCCTGCTCCCATGCAAGAGCCATACTCCTCACTGCTCCCCTCCCTGGCAGCCTCACTATGCGGCTGCATGAGACTCTGAAACAGTGCCAGGACCTGAAGACAGAGAAGAATCAGATGGATCGCAAGATTAACCAGCTTTCTGAGGAGAATGGGGAGCTCTCCTTTAAGGTGAGGGATCAAAAACTCACCTATAAAGGTCTCTCAGGCTAAGGTTGTCTAGAAGGCTCCCAGCTCAGGCTTTGGTCTGACTCAGGACCTGTATACTTTGCCCATTTCCCTTTCCTGTAACTGGCTGCTGCTAAGGTACAGGGTGCAGCCCTAAATGTTGATGTGTAGCCCTGAATTAGAGGTGCGTTTAGATGTGATTGGATCAGAGAGAGGGAGGAATGATTGAAGGCAGTAGACCTCGCTTCAGGGAGCCTGCAGTGGTGGTGCCACCTTTGACCCTGGATGATGGGTTTCCCTCTCATGTCTCAGCTACGGGAGTTTGCCAGTCATCTGCAGCAACTCCAGGGTGCCCTCAATGAGCTGACGGAGGAGCACAGCAAGGCCACTCAGGAGTGGACAGAGAAGCAGACCCGGCTAGAGAAGGAGCTCAGCACAGCCCTGCAGGACAAGGTAATCTGCTGGGGAGTCAGCCACAATTTGGATCTGTGTGCAGAGTAAGCTCAGTTTACCACTCAGTTGTGCAGCGCCCTTGGGAGATGAGCTGCCTTCTCAGGGTTTAGTGGCATGTTGTCATGGCACGGTGTGGGCTTAAGTCCATGACACCTTTGAGCCCTGTCTGCTACATACATTGGATTGGATCTTGGACAAGGTAATCTCTAAAAAGATAACATGAAAACCTTTTCAGCTATTGTGGGATTGTGTATGTGAAACACTCACGTGAAGCTCTCTAGTGAATTAGTCATTTCAGCTTGCTTATCCCTCACCCTGAATGTTTGAGATCACAAGCATGTTAGCTTGAAGGTTTTCTGATTTTGGAATATTTGGAATATCTGCATAGTCTTTATGGGTTGAGCATCTCTAATCCAAAATGTAAAGTGTTCCTTCATGCAAAACTTGTTTTTGAGACCGAGTTGAGCTACATAGCTACATAGGCTGGTCTTGAACTATTTTCCTGCTTCTGCCTTCTGAGTGTTGGGATTGTAAGTATGTGCTGCCCTGCCTGGCTCAAAATTCAAAATGTTTTCAGTATCACATTGGAGCTCAGGAAGTTTTGGATTTCTAGTTAGGGATGCTCAACCTGTATTATTAATTGCTATTAATGAGAATTGAACTCTACCACACATTAAAACCATGCAGCTGTGGGCAAGGCACTTAGCATCTAACTGTCGGGCTCTGCTTTGTAAGAGAGAGCAGACTTGTATGTGGGTTGTGTGTGGGTTAGGAGTTCAGAGATGTAGTCAGCAGTGTCTGGCATATAACCAACAAAGTGGCATGGGCCTGGAGCTGCTGGGGCTCTGCTGGTGCCCAGGTGCTGTTTTTAAGCTGGTGGTGATTTGGATAATTGGGGAGTTGAGGCTTGTCTGAGGAAGAATATACAGTAAGAAAATTGGAAGTAAGCTCTGTAGCTTATGTTGTAACTTTAACTCAGCCCCTAGAACTTGGGACTAGCAGAGTCCCTCATTAGTCCAGGTCCATGGTTTCTGAGTTTTTTTTTTCCTAGGCTAGGGCAAAGGGAGATCTTGGTAACAAGATGGTAGGGTCTCATGTTTTGCCTGGGCTCATGAGGACCCGAGTGGTAATCTGGTACCTGTTCCACCTCTCTCTTCACTTGGGTCTCATTTACTCCTAGAAATGCCTTGAAGAAAAAAATGAAATCCTTCAGGGAAAACTTTCACAGCTGGAAGAGCGTTTGGCTCAGCTGCCAGAGAATCCATCTCAGGAGAAGGGTGAAGTGCTGGGTGATGTCTTGCAGGTAGGAGTACATAGGAGCAGCCAGTAAGGCTTGCATGCTGGGGTTGTTTCCTGCACCCCTCAGTTCCTACAGGGGGTGTGGTGATTGAGGAATCATGCTGTCCCACTGATCTCTTTATTGCACCAGCTGGAAACCCTGAAGCAAGAGGCAGCCACTCTTACTGCAAACAACACCCAGCTCCAAGCCAGAGTGGAGACCCTGGAGAGCGAGCAGGGCCAGCAGAAAGCCCAGCTGCTCGCTGAGCGGGACCGCTTTGAAGACGAAAAGCAGCAGCTGGCCAGCCTCATTGCAGACCTGCAGAGCTCCATCTCCAACCTTGGCCAGGCCAAGGAGGAGCTGGAGCAGGCCTCCCAGGCACAGGGGGCCCGGTTGACTGCCCAGGTGGCCTCTCTGACCACAGAGATCACCACGCTCAATGCCACCCTCCAACAGCAGAATCAAGAACTGATCAGTGTGAAGCAGCAGGCCAAAAAGGAGCAAGCCCAGCTCGCACAGACCCTCCAACAGCAAGAACAGGCCTCCCAGGGCCTCCGTCACCAGGTGGAGCAGCTGAGCAGCAGTCTGAAACAGAAGGAGCAGCAGTGGGAAGAGGCAGTGAAGGAGCAGGAGGCAGCCAAGCGGGACCATGCACAGCAACTGGCCACTGCTTCCGAGGCACGAGAGTCCTCTATAAAGGAGCGGGATACTGCTCGCCAGCAGCTGGAGGCATTGGAAAAGGAGAAGGCTGCAAAGCTAGAGATTCTGCAGCAGCAACTCCAGGCTGCTAATGAAGCCTGGGACAGTGCCCAGACATCAGTGACAAAGGTCCAGCAGGAGAAGGCAGAGTTGAGCCAAAAGGTGGAGGAACTCCGTGCCCATGTTGAAGCAGCCCACCAGGAGCAGTGTCAGGCCCAGGCCCAGGTGACACAGCTTGAGGCCCAGCTGAAGGCTGAGCAGCAAAAAGCAACTGAGAGAGAAAAGGTAGCCCAGGAGAAGGGAGAGCTCCAGGAGCAGCTCCAGGTTCTCACAGAGTCCTTGAAGACTGCCAAGGGCAACTTGGAAGAGGAGAAGCGCAGAGCCGCAGATGCCCTGGAGGAGCAGCAGCGTTGTGTTTCAGAGCTGAAGGCAGAGTCTCGGAGCCTGGTGGAGCAGCGTAAGCAGGAACAGAAGGAGCTAGAAGAAGAGAAGGCTGGGCGCAAGGCGCTTGAGGCCCGATTACAGCAGCTTGTGGCAGCCAGTCAGGCTGAGACTAAAGCCCTGCAGCAGGAGCTGGCAGAGGCCACGGCCTCCCAGCACAGGGCTGAGAGTGAGTGTGAGCAGCTTGCCAAGGAAGTCGCCACTTGGCGGGGGCGGTATGAGGACAGCCAACAAGAAGGGGCACAACATGGCGCCATGTTGCAGGAACAGCTGGTGACCTTGAAGGAGGAGTATGAGAGGTCCTGCCAGGAGCTGCAGGAGGCAAAAGAGAAGGTGGCAGGGATAGAGGCCCACAGAGAGCTCCAGATAAGCCGGCAGCAGAGTGAGCTAGCCCAGCTCCATGCCAGCCTGGCCAGAGCCTTGCAGCAGGTCAAGGAGAAGGAGATTAGAGCCCAGAAACTGGCAGATGATCTCTCTTCTCTGCAGGAGAAGATGGCTGCCACCAGCAAGGAGGTGGCTCGCCTGGAGGCCTTGGTGCGCAAGGCAGGTGAGCAGCAGGAAACAGTCCCCCGTGAGCTGCTCAAGGAGCCCCCGAGGGCTGGCGACAGAGATTCCGAGTGGCTGGAAGAGCCTCAGGACCGGCCATTGTGCAGCACTCAGGCAGCACTGCAGGCCATGGAGCGTGAGGCCGAGCAAATGGGCAGTGAGCTGGAGAGGCTGCGAGCAGCACTGATGGAGAGCCAGGGGCAGCAGCAGGAGGAGCGTGGGCAACAAGAGAGGGAGGTGGCAAGGCTGACCCAGGAGCGCAGCCGGGCCCAAGCTGACCTTGCCCTGGAGAAGGCAGCCAAGGCAGAGCTTGAGATGCGGCTGCAGAATGCCCTCAATGAACAGCGTGTGGAATTTGCTACCCTGCAAGAGGCACTGGCCAATGCCCTGACGGAAAAAGAGGGCAAAGACCAGGAGCTGGCCAAACTTCGAGGGCAAGAGGCATCTCTGAGAACAGAGCTGAGGGAGCTTCAACAGATCATGGAGCAGCTGCAGGCACGCCTGGCTAAGAAAGAAAAGGAACACCGGCAGCCTGCAGGGGTAGCCAGTGGAGAAGATGCTTCCGGACCAGCAGTCCGGTTGGAGGCAGCTGGAAAGATGGAGGTGCCAGGCCCTGAGCTGGAGGGTCTGCGGGCACAAGTGAGCAAGCTGGAGCAGCAGTGCCACCAGCAGCAGGAACAGGCTGATGGCCTGGCACAAAGCCTTGAGTCTGAGCGTGCCTCTCGGGCTGAGCAGGAAAAGGCCCTAGAGACTCTGCAGAGCCAGTTAGAAGAGAAGGTGCAGGAGCTGGGGCAGAGTCAAGCTGCCTCGGCCTCAGCCCAAAAGGAGTTGACCACTCTCCGCGCCAAGGTCCAAGACCACAGCAAGACTGAGGAGGAGTGGAAGGCCCAGGTGGCCCGGGGCCAGCAGGAAGCTGAAAGAAAAAGCAGCCTTATTAGCAGTTTGGAGGAGGAGGTGTCCATCTTGAACCGCCAGGTCCTGGAGAAGGAGGGGGAGAGCAAGGAGTTGAAGCGGCTGGTTGTGGCTGAGTCAGAGAAGAGCCAGAAACTAGAGGAGAGGTTGCGCCTGCTCCAGGCAGAGACGGTCAGCAACAGTGCCAGAGCCGCAGAACGCAGCTCAGCTCTGCGAGAAGAAGTGCAGAGCCTCCGGGAGGAGGTGGAGAAACAGCGCGTGGTTTCAGAGAACCTGCGGCAGGAGCTGGCCTCTCAGGCAGAGCGAGCTGAGGAGCTGGGCCAAGAATTGAAGGCGTGGCAGGAGAAGTTCTTCCAGAAGGAGCAGGCCCTCTCTGCCCTGCAGCTGGAGCACACCAGCACACAGGCCCTAGTAAGCGAGCTCCTACCAGCCAAGCACCTCTGCCAGCAGCTGCAGGCCGAGCAGGCAGCTGCCGAGAAACGCCACCGGGAAGAGCTGGAGCAGAGTAAGCAGGCAGCTGGTGGGCTGCGGGCAGAGCTGATGCGGGCCCAGCGGGAGCTCGGAGAGCTGGGGCCCCTGCGGCAGAAGGTGGCGGAGCAGGAGCGAGCAGCCCAGCAGCTGCGGGCAGAGAAGGCCAGCTATGCAGAGCAACTGAGCATGCTAAAGAAGGCACATGGCCTGCTGGCAGAGGAGAACCGAGGGCTGGGTGAGCGGGCCAACCTTGGCCGGCAGTTTCTGGAAGTGGAGCTGGACCAGGCCCGGGAGAAGTATGTCCAAGAGCTGGCAGCTGTGCGTGCTGACGCTGAGACCCGTCTGGCTGAGATGCAGCAGGAAACACAGAGCACTACCCAAGAGCTGGAGGTGATGACTGCCAAGTATGAGAGTGCCAAGGTGAAGGTCCTAGAGGAGAGGCAGCGGTTCCAGGAGGAGAGGCAGAAACTCACTACACAGGTAAGAAGCCCAGCTCAACCACACCCCCAAAGATCCAGACCCAAAGAGAGCTGGGACATTGTTCCTCTGCACTCCACAGCTTCCCTCACTGTCACACTGTCCCTCAGAAAAGGACAGCAGAAAGAGAGAGGTGGCTAGCAGACTTCAAGTCCATTGTTCTTCTTGTTTTAAAGAAAATGTCAGTGGCCTTCTCTGAAAGCTCTGTCCCTGTCCCTGGAAAGTCAAGTCATGACAACCACCAACCCATTTAGAGGTACATCTGTCCCTAAAGGCTCCATGGGCCACAGGGGACTAGAAGCAGCTAAACTATCTTTTTTTTTTTTTTTGGAGTGTGTGTGTGTACGTGTGTGTGTGCTGCGGAGGATGGAGCCCAGAGCCTTCTGCATGTGAGGCAAGCACTCTGTCACTGAGCTACATTCTAAGCCTCAAACTGATGTTTTTAAAATAACTGCACATAGTCCCTGGGGGAAAGTATCAAAGCCCAGGTAAGATCAGCCTGACAGTAGGCTGGTACCCCTTGGCCTCTCACTGTCTGCATTGCTCCTCCCCCACGCACAGGTGGAACAACTAGAGGTATTTCAGAGAGAGCAGACTAAGCAGGTAATGCCTGGGGTTCTTGATAAACGCTGGCTGCTTAAGCGGTGACCAGTCTCAGTGCATGACCCCGGCTGCAGCTTGCCTCCACCAGCTCCTGTTGTGAACTGTTTGTGAAGGGGGCAGGTACAAGCCATGGACTCCAGGCCCAGGCTGCCCAGGAGTGTGGTGTGTTGGGCCCTTCTTGGGCCTCATCCCACCCATCCCAGGTCGGCCTCTTCATCTTTCTGCACTTTCTCTCTCCTGCCTGTCAGGGACAAAGGGCAGCATAGGGTTCATCTTTCTCAGACCTGCACCAGTGACCAACTCAATCTTTGTGATTCCAAAACCTCTGGAATCCTATTTCTAGTTAGGGCCATCAAACTAAGAGGAAAAGCAGTTACCTGTGGGCCTTGTTTAGCATAGCACCCATCTTTCCCAGAGTATGGATTTTTTAAGGCAGCTCTCGCAGCATAGGAAGGGTAGTAGGCTCAGGACGCTTGCAAAATAGCCTTGGGGCCTTATACCTGAGCACAGCATAGAGCTATCTGGATAATGAAGGCCAAGGTTGAGAGGAGCAGAAGGGCTTTGCATCAGGCCCTATTACATTTGGCTGCCTCCCTCCATTTCACAAGGATCCCTCTGTGCTCTTGAGACACCATGGCTACATAGCTGGTATTTGGTGAGAGTACCTTTTTCATCCTTCTTTCTAGTCATCACAGACCTGAAGAATTGGGCCTTCCAGAGTCTGAGATGATTGGGGACAATCATACTGAAAAGCAAACAGTTAGCAATGGAGCCCTTGCCTCTTCCTCTGCCGCCTGGTTGTGTCTGAACTCCATAGAGGAGCTGGGATGATTGTGGCTGTTAAGATCCCTTTCACTACCTTCCTCCCTTTGATCTTCCTCTTTGTGGGAATTGGGGGGACTTGGCTATGTGGGCTTTCCCTGCTCTTGTCTAATAGCCATCTGTCCCCCCAATGCTAACCACAGCGGCTGCACTGCGTTTCCATGGGCCCAGCCCTAATGGTCCATGGAAATGGGGAAGAGATCTGAGCATCTGAGGGCTTTGCTTTGGCATTTTCTGAGGGGAGGGAGGATGCCCTTGAAAACGTCTGCTAAAGCACTACACTAGGTTCCCTGTTCTTGCCCTGACAAGCAGCCCATGCAGCAGGTATTCCCTAACTAGAGGCCAGGGTTTCCTCTAGGAGAACTGGATAGGGGTCTGGGGAAACCCTCTGGTTTATCTGGACATCAAGAAAAAGTTTCCTGAGACATCTCATCTGCTCTTCCCTCCCCAGGTGGAGGAACTGAATAAGAAGCTGGCTGAGTGTGACCAAGCGAGCAAGGTGCAGCAGCAGAAGCTGAAGGTGGGACAGGCCTGGCTTCTGGCTGCCTCAGCGTGAGACGGGGGAGGGACGGGCTCTCTAAGCCCTCAGCCTTTGGTGGGTGTTGGGTCAGAGGAGGGGCACCCTGGGGACTGGTGGCCCAAGAGAGATTTGAGGCTCAGGAGCCCCTGCATGTGCCTTCTGGCAAGACGAGAGGTTCCCATCTCTCTAGACCTCCACTTTCCACTTTCACCTTTGATTCCTTTTTTGAGGCAAGGTCTCCTTCAAACTGGTCTCAAACTCATGATCTTCGTGCCTCAGCCTTCTGAGTGCTAGGATTGATAGTCATGCACCACCACGCCCAGCACAGTATTTTTAATGCTGTCAGCTGTGTTACCTTTTCTGCTGTAATGGTGGCTTTTTGTAGCATTAGGCTTCACAGCCTTGAGTCAGGGCAAAGGACTTGGACACCAGTGCCACTGGGACTTGCTAAAGCCCTGGTGGGCCCCAAGTGTTGGTGGAAGCTCCAAGCTTCATTTCTCCTGCTCCCCTTTCGTATGCCTCACATCATGTCACAATTACGTGATAAATATGTGTATTACGCTTCTTTGGGGTCCTGGCTCTGAGCAGGGAGATGTAGGAGAGGCAAGGGTGGGAAGCGCCTATGCACCATCTGTAGCAGACCAGTTGCTGGTATTGCAGGTGACAAACTTGCTCTTGTGCTCTAGGTAGGAGGCAATGCTGCCATCATAAATAAAGCCCCCATGGGCTTTGGAGTCAGGTGGGCCAAGTTCCTACCTTACTCCACCCTAGTCACTGTCACCCTGGTTACTTTGCTTAAATCTCTGAACCCAGTCTCCTTGTCTCTGAAATGAGGACAAAGTGGTTTGGAGAAGTGAGTTCCCTGTCAGAGAGAGCTCATGTGCCCAGTGCCTAACACTGTGCCCAGCATTCTAAGGGCCACTTTCTCTTCCTCTGTGGGAAGACTGCATATGTAAAGACACTTTGTGCCTGGTTTCAAAGACAGCAAAGACCAGGCTGTTGGAACTGTCAGAGCCAGCAGATGGCATTAGTGGGTCAAAAGAGCATCCATGTGGACTTGGAGGCTGTGAGGAGTTAGGAGGATGTAGTTGCGGGGGTATTTGGGGGGTGGTGTACATTAGGGTAGGAGGTCCTGAGAACCGTGCAAGAGAATTTAGGGTCTGATACACCTGTGGGACTGAGAAGCTAGGGCTGGTCAGTGGATTGGGATGAGCAGTCAGACCGGCTTTTCTGACTGACCTGTTATTTTTAGGCCTTCCAAGCCCAGGGAGGTGAGAGCCAGCAGGAGGCCCAACGGCTTCAGGCCCAGCTGAATGAGCTGCAGGCCCAATTGAGCCAGAAGGAGCAGGCTGCTGAACACTACAAGCTGCAGGTGAGGCGCCCGGCTGGCCCATTGTGCCCTTCCACCTACCCTCTAGGCTATGCCATGCCCACCCACCCTATCTGCTCATACAGATGGAGAAAGCCAAGACCCATTATGATGCCAAGAAGCAGCAGAACCAAGAGCTGCAAGAGCAGCTGCGGGACCTGGAGCAGTTGCAGAAGGAGAATAAGGAGCTGCGGGTTGAAGCTGACCGTCTAGGCCGCGAGCTGCAGCAGGCTGGGCTGAAGACGAAGGAGGCTGAACAGACCTGCCACCATCTTACTGCCCAGGTGCGCAGCTTGGAGGCACAGGTAAGCATCTGCCTAAACAGACTCACCTCGCCCCTGTCGTATTGTACTCCTGTGCCTTCCTTTCTGAGGCCACCCCTTCCCCTAGGTTTCCTTTTTTTAAATTTTTATTTGATTGTTTTTACATTTTCTCACATGTGTATACATTGTTTGGGCCACCTCCCCCCTAGGCTTCCTTTCATTCTCCTTCCCAGGTTGCTCATGCAGACCAGCAACTGCGAGACCTGGGTAAATTCCAGGTGGCAACTGATGCCTTAAAGAGCCGTGAGCCCCAGGCGAAATCCCAGCTGGACCTGAGTATTGACAGTCTGGATCTGAGCTTTGAGGAGGGGACCCCATGCAGTATCACCAGGTCAGAAGGCACACCTCCACACTTCTGAGCGCCTGCTGTTCAGCAGGCTGTGGTTCTAGGCACTGGGCTAGGAAGATAAATAAGATGTGTGGAAGCTTATTCTTAGAGAAGAATAAAGTATTACAGGTGGGTTGGTATGCTTAGGGCACACAAAAGTAAAAAGAAGTGAGGTCAGCAAAGGCTCCATAGCTGTTGCTACACAGGTTTGTGCACCAGCTGGACAGAGGAACATAGTGTGAGCACAGGCAGAGGAGGAGCCTGGCTGGGTGGGCCCCGAAGCCCAGAGGCTGGCTGGACTCTTGCTTGGAGGCTGGCATTTAGACTTGATCCCAAAGGCACTGAGGAACCTCAGAAGGGCTGAAATTGAGGAGTATGTGGTTGGATTTGCATCTTGGAAAGCTTATTCTGACTGGAGGTGTGGCTTAAGCAGCAGAGTGCTTGCCTAGCAAGCCTGAAGCCCTGAGTTCAAATCCCAGTAGCAGTGGTGGAGGGGGAATATTATTATTCTGATAACCAGTGTAGAAGTTAATGCTGGAAACACAATGATTGTTTTTATTAAAGAAATACTTTCATTGCACTTACTGTGTGTCACTGTTCTAAGCACTTAAAAATTTTAACTACTTATTTGTCCCCCAGCAATCTCTGAGGTAGGTTCTAATTTATTATATCTCCTTAAATATATGAAACTGGAGCATAGAGTGGCAGTCACTGGCCCAAGGTCCCAGTGGTGGAGTGGTGGGGTTTGAACTTGGGCAGCCTGGCTTTAACTATTCAGCTGCCTCTCTGAGATGCCATTCTAAGTCGAGGGGAGAGGAGCCAAAGTTGATTAAGAAGGATGTGTACACCAAGAGGGGTGTGGTTAGGAGAGCATCTTAAGTGGCTAGGGGTGACTGGGCTTCAGCAGGAGAGGTCAGATCGCACCTGTGTGTTGTGGTGTTGTGGTTTGTGAGGAGGATCCACTTAGTAAGGTAGGAGATGCAGGAGAAAGAACAGACAGAGGGCTTAGTTTGGCATCTATTCATTGTGAACTAGCTGTGGCATTTGGGTAATGTCTGTACTGTTGGATATCTGGGCCTGAGAGCAGGGTCTGGACTAAAGCAGATTATCTGGGAGTTGCTGATATGGAGGTAGGGAGAAGCCATGAGAGTGTCCTGAAAGAAGGGCCCACGTCAAGGGCTCTTCTTGGTACCTCTGACAAATCAGAACAAGGGGGTGCTTAACTATACATGCCTGTAATAAGTAGGAAATGGTCACTTTGGAGCAAAGGGATAGACAAAGTGCTTTCTAGCCCCAAGAACTGCACCTCAGCTGATTTCTTTTCTATATAGTAAGCTGCCTCGTACCCAGCCAGATGGTACCAGCGTCCCTGGAGAGCCAGCTTCACCCATCTCTCAGCGCCTGCCCCCCAAGGTAGAATCCCTGGAGAGTCTCTACTTCACCCCCATCCCTGCTCGGGGTCAGGCTCCCCTGGAGAGCAGCCTAGACTCCCTGGGGGACGTCTTTCCGGACTCAGGCCGTAAGACCCGCTCCGCCCGCAGGCGCACCACGCAAATCATCAACATCACCATGACCAAGGTCAGGCTGGGGTGTGGGACTCATGGACTGTAATGCCCACTTCTCAAAAGTGTCTTTCCATTGTGTCCTTAGTCGGGAAGAGGCAGGGATGACCAAGCAGTCTATATGGTACAGATGGGAAAGCTGAGATCTTGTGACAGTGACTTGCTTTAGGGCCTCTTCTGTGGAATAGGGCAGGGCTGGAATTAGACCTACCCTTTCCATGTGTAGCCCTGAATTCTATGCAGGCTGATGGCAGAGAATAGGGGACATTGCATTCTGGGCCTGAGGCACCCTATGCAGCCAAGATGCATTGTGGCCCTCAGCAGACTGCTGCTGCTGGGTTCTGGATTCTTGCCCTTGCTTATGTCTCTAGGAGGAGGCTGGGGAGAAGTGCCTTTGGTATAGGAGGGAAGACCTCTGTGCAGGGTGCCCTCTGCTACCAAGAAGCTAGAGAAGTTACAGAAGATGATTGGACTCCAGCTACCTTGATGGAGGGACAGCAGAGGCAATGGGCTGACCCTGACTGTATAGCTCAGGACACAGGTTCTAGCTTCTGCCCAGCCACATCCTTGCTGTGCAGTCTGGGGCTACTCACATCATTTTTTTGCACCTCACCTTCAAAATGGGCTGATAACCTATCTTTCCTCACCCAAGTGCTGCTAACAGACTTTAAAAAATGGATAGAGAAATCAACAACCTTAGCACCTTGTGAGGGCTTTTACAACAAAGGCCCATTTGCAGACATGCAAACTGAGGACCCTTTGCAAAGCAGTGTGCTGCAGCTCTGGGGGCTAGAGGAGAGGGGGACGAAAGGGAGCTTTGCAGTGTCAGGCTTCCCTGCCCTCTGCAATCATTCTCTCTTCCAGAAGGTAGATGTGGAGGAGCCAGACAGTGCCAACTCATCCTTCTATAGCACACAGTCTGCCCCTGCTTCCCAGGCCAGCCTGCGAGCCACCTCTTCTACCCAGTCTCTAGCCCGCCTGGGCTCTCCTGATGATGGTAACTCAGCTCTGCTCAGCCTGCCTGGCTACCGACCCACCACTCGAAGTTCTGCTCGCCGCTCCCAGGCTGGGGTGTCCAGTGGAGCACCACCAGGTGAGGGAACTGTGGAGACTTACCACATCCCAAAACTAGACTGGAAGTGGATCTTGGCACAGAGATCCTGGCAAGCTTTTACAAACCCAAGACTGGCCTCCTGGCTACCTTCCTGCAACAGCACCACTCACGTCTCCTGTCTGTAGTCTCTGGCCTTGCCTGTCTATGTAGACTGGGGCAATCAGAACCAGGAATGCTCACCAAAAGACCTAATTCCCAGTGTTAAGTGACACCTGTTGGGACTCCCCCATCCCCCTTCCTGGGAAGTGGTGGGCTGTTGGGAGGGCCAGGCTGGCCAGCCATTTCTTTGCCCTTGGGGTTCCAGGGACTCTCCTGAGTATCAGTTCCTGGCCCTCAGTCTCTTGGTATGGGGTAACAAGCGTTCGCAGGTGAATGAGATGTTGGCACAGTCTTTGCTTATGACCTCTTCTGGCCTCCCCAGGGAGACAGCAGTCAGCATGCCCCATGAGAGAACACTCTGTGTGCCCACCCACACCCCCAGCAGTGAAGCAGAGCAGGACTGCTGTGCCAGGCTCAAAGTCCCCAGGGGAGGTGGGAATGTGCTGGCAAAATCTGGTGAGACAACAGGGCCCATGGACCACGTGCTGACCCTAGCCCCATTTGTTCCCACTTTTGTCCTCTGTAGGAAGGAACAGCTTCTACATGGGCACTTGCCAGGATGAGCCTGAGCAGCTGGGCGACTGGAACCGCATCGCAGAATTGCAGCAGCGCAACCGAGTGTGTCCCCCACACTTGAAGACCTGCTATCCCCTGGAGTCCAGGGTGAGCCCTGGGGTCACTGTATAAGATCTCTCATGAGGGCCCTCCCTTGGCTTCTCACCTAAAGGCCACCTGCTGGTCTAACTGGTGCCCCGGGTCTCTGGCCTGCTGAGGAGAGTGAGCTCATGCTTCCAGATGGAATGGCCAGAAGGCATAGCTCCGAGGTGAAGTCACTGAGAGGCAGGAGCACAGAGGCGTCTACTCAGGACTTCTGGCCATTCATCCTAGGTGTAGGTAGAGAACAGGAAGGGAGGCCTTTTAAAGTAGGAAGGATCCAGCTGCTCCAAGTGTCAGGTATATGAGCAGTCCAGACTCAGCCCCAGTTCTGGCTCCAAACAGCTGGGGCCTGCTGACTGCTGCTTCCACTCTCTGCAGCCTTCCCTAAGCCTGGCCACCATCACTGATGAGGAAATGAAAACTGGAGACCCCCAGGAGACCCTGCGCCGAGCCAGCATGCAGCCAACCCAGATTGCTGAGGGCACAGGCATCACCACCCGACAGCGCAAACGAGTCTCCTCAGAGACCCACCATGGCCCCGGCACCCCCGAGGTAGACAGGACTGGCTTCTGTGTTTTGTTCTATTATCTGTACTGTGCCCAGATCAGACTCAGCTCCTTTCAGAAGTGGATTAGAGCCTTTTCTCCATGAGTTAGTTGGGGAGGGGATCATATTGACTGCAAATCTACTCTAATTCAGAGGCTGAGATACCTTGTCTTACCTTGGGATGTGGTGTCCTCCTGCCACTGCCTGCCTAATTGTCCTTTCCCCCATAGTCTAAGAAGGCCACCAGCTGTTTCCCACGCCCCATGACTCCCCGGGACCGACATGAAGGGCGCAGGCAGAGCGCTACTGAGGCCCAGAAGAAAGCAGCCCCAGCTGTTCTTAAACAGGTCACCCTGGGGTTAAAGAGGGTGAGGGGAGACAAGCAGAGCCTTGCTGCAGAGGCTGGAGCAGCATGCTGCATGGGAAGGATCTCCCAGTTTGACAGATGCTCCCCCACAGGCTGACAGGCGCCAGTCGATGGCCTTCAGCATCCTCAACACACCCAAGAAGCTGGGGAGCAGTCTTCTGCGGCGAGGAGCCTCAAAGAAGGTTCCATCCAAGACCTCCCCCAACACCCGGAGTGGAACCCGACGCTCTCCACGCATTGCCACCACCACAGCCAACACCGCCACTGCTTCTGCCATTGCTGCCACCACTGCCACCCCTCGGGCCAAGGGCAAGGTTGAGGCACTGGCAGGGAGGGGGGAAGGAAAATGCGATGAAAGCTTGAGCATTCCCAGACTGCCCCACAGTGCAGCATCCAAGGCAAGGCCAAGCTAGGCTGCTGGAGGGTGGAGATTAAGAGGAGGTGTTTCCTGTTCTGAGGAACAGTTCATTATTGAGCACACAGGGCTTCTTAAATATGGCTAGCACTGGTAACCTGAAGCCAGGTATATTAGGGGTTCATGAAGGAGGGGTCCAGTTGGGTGTGAAAGGGCCAGGGAACAGGAAGGTCCACGATGGATCTGGCCACATGACTGTTTCTCTTTCTTTCAGGCAAAGCACTAAAGAGCCAGTACCAGTGAATGGCCCTACCTGTGTCCCCAGTGCTGACCTCACCTGGTCCTCTTTTCCTTCTACTGTCCCTCTCAGTGCCTTCTCTCAGCTCATAGGCCACTGGTGGCCAAACCCCAGAGACAGTGATGCCTGCCAGTGCCGTGGCATGGTATCTGGACCTTTACTGGTGCCTTCTCTAGGCACCTTCTCAGAGCTGGTCTGGGAGGCTTGGAGCTTGGACAGTGTGGGGCCTTCTCCCTATCCTGCCTCCTGATTTTTCTTGGAGCAAAGTCACTTCTCCATCATAACCAGATTTAAGGCTAGCTTTGAGTGGCTGAATCCTTGAACTCAGCCAGTCTTCCTCAGCCTCTGAATCTAGAAGGGACCAGTGGAGAAGCAGGCTCTGGTTCCTGCTTCAGAGAAGCAGCTCCTCATGGCTGGGCCTACAGGGGCCCTTGCTCTTGAAGCCCAAGACTGGGCATGACCTGGTGGGAGCCCCCTGCTCCCATCTACCCAAGGGCCCAGATACCCAGAGGATGCTCTTTTCTGGGACAGGCTGGGTCCTGGGTCTCAGGGGTGGGGTAGAGGGCAGCCTTTGATGGTAGCTCATACCCCACCTTCCCCAGACTTGCACTGGGGTGGGATTTGGAAAGATGGGAAGGTTTTTAAGGGTTGGGGATGGATCTTTTCTAAATGTTATTACTTGTAAATAAAGTCTATTTTTCTCCCTTGAGTACTGAGCTTCCTTGGTTAGTATGGGAAAACCTAAGCTCTTTGAGCTGCCTTTTATCCCTTGTGGAGTCTTCAAACCACCTCCCTTCTCTTATCTTTTGTTCTTGTGGTCTTGGGACATTTTTCCCTAGGGCCTTCCCATACCCCATTTCTGGCCTGTGTTCCTGAGGAGCACTATGGGATATCCTCTTTCCTTTTTCAAGTTCTCTTGTTCCCCTGAATCTGATTTTATATTTGGCTTCTGTGAGGCAGCCCCGTTTTCCAGCTCTCTCCTAGGACATGCAAAGTTCCTGTGAGTGGAACGGGGGGCCTAAATGATTGAACAGCAATCAGGATGTCTTCATTGGGTAATCCTTTATGAGAACTCATTGTGGGCTGTGCTGGGACTGACAAGAATACAGTTGTGGATCAGAACTAGCCAGTGCTTCTTCCATCCCTTTCCTGGGACAGTACATTAGGTTAAGAGGGAGGGAAGAAAGAAAATATACACAACATGAAGTCAGTGCAGAATGTGGCCAGAGAGTAGATGTCACTAAAATGGTGGCATTTCTACTGGGCTTCAGGGTTCACATGCTGGGATAATGAGGAAGAGGGGAGCAAGTGAGCAGAGGTGCAAGAGTGGGAACAAGGATATGGGATGGCTTCTGGAAAGTCATGTTGGGAATGCAGGCAGGGCCTTTGAGTGCTAGACTAAGTTACCACCAGGTCTTGGAGGTTCCTGAAAAGGACAGCAATATGGCTGGTGAGTAGGGCACTAGAAAATTTAATGGGTAAGAAGAGAAAGGCATGAGGAAGAAGCATTAGGGAAGACAGTTAGGATTTTCTAGGTGAATTTGGTGACAGGCAGGAGGAAGGCAGGGGTGGCTTAGGGAAGCAGTCTGCACAGCCTGCCTGCGTCAGGGGAGACTTCTTCACCCTGCAGGTGATCAGGCTGATCAAGGGTGTGCTGTCGCTGGCCTCCTGCTGGAGTGGGCAGCTGTGGTCCTGGGCTGTGGTTGGAGGGCAGGGCTTCTTGCGAGGCGGGAGGCACCGTCCTTAGCCCAGCCTAGGGAGGTGAAGGTGGACAAAGAATACAGCTAAGGCAACAGAAGGACACCTGCCCACTTTCAGGCCTGCACTTCCCTGCTGGGGTCCTCAGTGCCTTTTTGTTTCCACCTTAGGCTGACCTTGGGGGTAAAGGTGGGCATTATCTTGGAGGCTGCTCTGGCAAAGCCCACTGCTTCCTCCCCACATCCCCTGGGATGCTATCCCTCGGACTCCTCACCCAACGCTGGGCCAGGATGATGTGACGCTGGGCAACTTGTCCAGGGTCCACGAACACACAGGAGAAGTTGGTGCTTCGCAGGGTGGGGCTCAACTCCTCCAGCACCAAGGCCCTCCACAGCTGGATGCCTGTGCTCCCACGCTTTCGGCTTGAGCAGAAGAGGAAGTCATGAGGGGCCCCAGGAGGGAATCTCCCTCCCACTGGCCTCCCTGCTGCAACCCTCACCTGGTGCTGTTCTCCCTCAGACGGCCTGAAAGGTGCTCAATGAAAGAACCATTGCCCAGCCAGTAGAGGATGCTGAAGGGAAAGCGGCTGCAGGCAGTACAGGACAAGGTCAGCGTTCCATCTAGGAGCACATGTGGCTGTTAGCCCTTCTATTGAGCAGACAGATCCTGCAAACTTCCCATGGTCGCACAAATAAGGAACCTGGAATATTGCTATGTACCCCGCCAATTTGGGAAACTTGTCAAAGGCGAGGTGCAGTCATCTACACAAGAAAAGCCCTAGGCCTGCACATGGGAAATTTGGGGCTCAACTCCAGCCTGGGGAGGGTCCCTGGTTCAAAGATGAACCCACTTCTGAGCTTTTTCCTAAGGATGGCCTTTTCTAATGCCTAGCCTCTGATTCTGTAAGTCCAGGCTAAGGGGACACTAACAGGCTGATGATCCTCTGAGATGGCCAGAAGTCAAGCAGGCTCTTTGGGTAGAGGGTTGTGCCTCGGAGCACATTGCAACCAAGTCCTTAAGAGGTCCTATGGCCATCATGCCTGCATGTGGTCTTTGATAAGGACCATTTTGGGATCTGAGCTATGGGTAGAATGATGAGCAATCAGCCAAGCTGGCCTGGCTAGTGATGCATGGTAGGTAGCGGGTATCCTTAGGAGTCAATCTAACCCCTGAACTCTGTGCCCACAGCCTGCACCTGACCACTCTGTACTTGTGGACTCCCCCTCATAATTGCTCCTTACTCAGTGGCACTTCCATCTCTGGCCAGATCACCTCCAATGCAGGGCACCGCTTAGTTGCTGGGGACACTGAGGACCAGGAGGGGCAGGGTTCTTTTGAGATCCCAGCTGACGCTGTGGCAACTGTGATGGTCTGAGGTGTACGTGTGGCTCTACCCTGGAGAATGATGATGTGGGCACACAGAAGCAGGACCCACAACAAACTGGGGTCTAAGGAAAGAACAGTCAGAGGTCAGCAGCTGACTGAGCTGCCTGGTAATGCTCAGCTCCCTAGCTCCTATCTGGAGCTATTCTAGCTCCAGAGATGGAGCTGCTTGCTGTCTGATTGAGGATATAACCCCAGACCAGAGATTTCTGGGTTCTGGCTAGGGTATCAGAGGGAGCAGAGACCCTTCAGCTCCCACTCTTTGGTTCTTTTGAATTGAGCAGAGACGCCTAGGAATAGAGCCTGAGCCACACTGTCTACACAGATATTAAAGCAATAGCACACTGTTGAGTCAGTGGAATTACCCTGGGAATGAAGATGTTCCATTCTGTTCAGGACCAATACCATCCCCCATCCCAAGCACAGCCCACATCCCACCTGGTTTCCGGTTCTGCCTCATGGTCATGATTCATGTGTCAGGAGCTGGGGAAAAGGTGAGGAAAGGTCAACTACCCCCACCTTTGTGACGCGCTCTCCCTGTAAACACCACATCTGCTCCGAAGGTCTGAACTTACAGTGGGCTGCTAGGCATTGCTACTCACTCTGTCCTGTCCATCTGTGCCACTGGTAACTCTCAGAGGACAGGCCTCTAGCACAGGCTGGAGCTGTCAGTGCTTAGACTCAAGCTGGATTATTACCTAGTGACAATTTCCCCCACCCCAGATCTTACTAACACTAAGTGGTGGTTGATCAGTCCAATACTACCCCTTCAAAAAGGATGGGGAAACAGGCCCAAAGAGGCCAGGTACTTACCTAGTCGCATAAGGAGGTGATGCTGTCTCTACTGTCAGAACTAGTTCTGGGAAGGGCAGGATGCAGTGAACTCCTTCTGGGAAAGCAAGCCCACTCTCCAGTTCACTTTCACTTTTATTCTGAGCATGGGGAATTCAGGGAAGGGACTTTGGAACTTGGAGGCTGCTCTGGCACAGCCCCCCCCACCCCACCCCGACTTCCTCCCCACACAGAAGCAGAGCTCCTCCTGTCCCTGGATGCCTTCCCTCAGGTTCCACACTCAGAGCCAGGCCAGGATGCTGTGAACCTAGGCAACTTGTCCAGAGTCCACGAACACAGAGAAGTTGGTGCTTTGCAGGGTGGGGCTCAGCTCCTCAATCGCCAAGGCCCTCCATGGCCTGGTACTTGTGCTCACGCTAAGCAGTTGCTCAGGCAGCACGGCACTCTCTTGAAGTAATGCTTAAAGTGGCCAGAAATTGTCTCATTAACTCCCAGGCCCCTACTCTCCAAACACCAAGATGGCATCTTTTATCTCCCCTCAACACCCACACATGCTCTGGGCCACCTAAAGTGAACCAGATGAGTCTCTCACAGATCAGTTCTGTTCTGCCAAGGGTCAGGACTTTTGTGTCCTTTCTGTTCTTCAGAGGCAGGCCCTTCCTTGTTTCCATAGGAGTGGGGCTTTGCTTCACATTCATACCAATATTCAAAAGGACAATATTCCTAGGCAATGTGACTATTTTAGGCTCAATGCCACACTGGCCCACTGACATCCTGGCCTTTCTAGGCTCTCCACTCCCTGCCAGCCCCTGCCCCGGCAGCCCCAAGGTCAGCTACATCATCCAAAACCCACCCATCACACCCACAAACTTATCTCTCTGCATACCCCTTTAGCTAGAGCCATAGGCCTAAGGTTATAGTCTAGATTTCCCCTACCTGACTTCCAAGACGTCCTGAAGAGCTCCCTTTTTAGAAGCTCCCAGTCCAGTGCAGCTGCTTAGGCCCACATGCCACGCCACAGGAAACACACTGACAGCACTTCCCTGCCTACAGGAACTCAGCCAAGCCCAGAAGTTGACGCAACCTGACAGCTAAAAGGAGGGGAAGGTGCTTCCCCAGCATTGGCTCCAGTGGCTTTGGGGCTACATAAATACATGAATTTGGTCATTGATGGAGCAAAAGGCACTGGGGCTATGATAGGGCCAGAACTAAAATTACACAAAAGTCTAAGGCTGCACTATCTCATGAAAGTGCAAGTGTCTGCGGAGGCAGAAAGAATAGCTCTGGTGGGACCCAATTGCTGCATTTGAGGTTTGTGATTTCTGTAATCATGAGAGGAGAGTTAAAAATTAGAAATAAGGGCAAAATAGTTTCTGCTGGGTATTGAGGGGGGGAGAGGGAGGGGGTGGAATGGGTGGTAAGGGAGGGGTTGGGGGCAGGGGGGGAGAAATGAACCAAGCCTTGTATGCACATATGAATAATAAAAGAAAAATGAAAAAAAAATGAGAGGAGAGTTAGTGATAAGAAACAGGGACTCTGGGAGATGGATTAGGTTTGGAGGATGCATCAGGAACATAAACAGATTCATATTTTTGATTCAGACACAGGAGACTAAGAGTTAGGTCCTCTTCTCTGAATGCCTAGCTCACATTTCTGCTTCTCTCAGGAACTCCACCTACCTCCTGCCAGAGGATACTAGGCTGCAGGGTTAACTTCTCCCTAGGAACACCAGATCTCCAGGATTTAGGGCAGAGGTAAAGCCACCTGAGGGATTCTAAGATACAGTCCATTGGGGGATGACTAGAGGTGGCAGGGAGAGGAGCTAGGACTCTACCTGAGAGTAACCAAGGGCAGCCACTGGAAGGTTATGGGACAAAAGTGACTATTTGTCCCATTCCCCTGAGGATTGGCCCACAGGTGGTATGGGCAGTGGGGTACCATGGAAAGCCACAGCCAGGTTAAAAGAAGCTGAGGTTGAGAGTAGACCTGAGAAAGGTAGGTAGTGGCAGGGTGTTGATCTCAACTGATTTTAGTTTTGGCAGCACTGGGGTTTGAATTCAGGACCTCACGCCAGCCAGACAGGCGCTCTTTCTGCTTGAGCCACTCCACCAGCCCATGTTGCTGATCTCAGGTGGTGAGGCTGGAGAGCCACCTCAGTTTGAAATGGGGCCCAGTGATGCCCCAGGACTCCTAATGCCACAGGCAGGAACCCAGCATTTCGGGATGGGAGTAGGGGAGAGGCAACACCAACCACCTCAAAGACCCAGCTCTCAGCTAGGGGCAGTAGAGGCAAGACAACCCTGAAGACCCCAAGGAAAGGTGGCAAGAAAAGCAAATAATGTTCAGCTTTCCAACCTAGCTCATGGAGCTTTATTCAGATGGGAGAGACAAGATCTTGCTTGATTTTTGCAGCCCTTAAAGGGGCAGGCCCTGCTGGGCTACATTCCCTTGAAACACTGTGGTAATGAACACTGGCTGCCCTCCCACTTTCTTCAAAACTCATAGGAAGCCCCTTTTCAGAAACTGCACTCACCAAGGCCATACCCTTCTACCCACCCACCCATCCACCGAATGGCAAAGCTCACACAGGGATGTGCCCTGGCTTAGGAATCCCCTGCTAACTTCAAGAGCACATTGCCTGATGACTGTTGACATCTGTTGTAATTCTTCGGCTCCACGCACGCTAACACACACACTCTCACTCAGGCTTTCAGGAAAGAAGTGATGTGCAGAGTAGCTTTTGGCACGTCACCATTTCCAGGCTGATGGATCAACTTGTACAAGAAGCCCTCAATCAATACTATAAACATTTGCCCCCAGAACCCAACTAGATGGTGTCTATTCCTGGCTGATGACAGCCCTGCTCAGGGGCAGATTATCTACACTGCTGATTCTTCTAGTTGTTCCAAAACATATCACCAATGAATTCTGATGCCCCATGGCTTCCCTTGGAAAAGTCATGGTGAAGTTCCACTTGACCAACCCAGTCTTTAGCTTCTAGACAACACCCATCTTATGTTCCAGAGAGGGCAGGAGAGAAGACACTTCACCCCTTGTTGCTCCTCTGTGGCACCAGTCTGAGCTCTTCAACTTTTCCACACTGAGTGTACCAGGCTTGAGCCACGCAGAGGGGAAGAGAGGGGAGGGGAGAAGAGGGGAAGAAAGAGAAAGGAAGTAGGTAGGCTGAAGCTCTCAGTCAGAGGTGAGAAGATTCCTTTTAAACAAAAACATCATGGCTCTGCCCCCACCCTGCTCAAGCAGGGTGAGGCCTGGAGGAGGCAACTCCTATGCTCCACAATAAAAAAGGTTTTTAAATATATTCATCAAAATAGTTTTCTTTTAAAAAGCCCCCCACTGTTGACAGCCCCACTGGCTGATTCTCCATCATATCTCTCCCCAGCCCAGACATAGCCAGAGAGGTCCTGAGTGGTCCAAGCACCCCTTTGAGTCTTTCCCACCCAGGAGATCTTCAAGGGCAGTGAGGAGAGTGCCCTGAGTTCCATGGCAGGTGGGGTGGGTTCTCTACTGACGCTATTCTAGACCCAGGACGTAGTTGATGCCTTGCACCAGGCCAATGATGACAGGCTGCCAGGCTACCAAGTATCGAAGCCAGTCCAACAGTTGTCCATACATGACATGAGGCCTCTCCCAGCTGTCAGTATGTTAAGGATTAGAGGGCTTCAAACTTCATCTAGCATAGTGGGGAGGGGTTCCCAGGCCTTCTCTGTACCTGGCCACACTTTTCACACAGCCTAGAGGAAAGAAAGCACTCCATGGTGGAATGAAGAGCTGAGCAGAGAATGGGGAAAGGAGAGCAGAGAGGACTGGAGAGAGGCATGAAATGGAGGTGAAATAGCTCTTCATGACCAACACCCAGGAAGGGCCTCCATTCAGGGAGATGAGCCTGCTAGTGTGAGAAAACCACTGGAGATTTACAGATACCCTGTAAATGTATCTGTGACAAAGGCTGCAAGGAGGCTGGAAGTGGGATAAAGTAACCCAGAAGTTCTAATATACAAAATTGAAGGTTTTTTCTATCAAGGAATGGGTTGAGTCAAGGGCCAGAGCCAGAGGGAACAGGGATCAAGAGGCTAGTCACAAGATCACCCCTGGCAGAGACCCTAAGGAGACCCTACTGAGGCCAAGTAGCCCTGGAGATGGGGGTCCCTTCCTTTTACTTTATATCTAAATGCTGGGCAAGGGATCTGGGGAGAGGTCTGGGAAGCCCAGATCTGAGGAAAGCACAGGGAGAAGCTCATAAACTGTAGGAGATCCCTACAAAGGCATCAGAAATACCACCTTGGACCAGCTCTCTAAGAGTTAAGGGAAGCCCAAAGCCTCAGCTTGACCATGAAATTATAGTTATTCCAGAACTGAGTCCTAGAAAAATGAAACAGGAAACCTGCAAGGGGAAGAACCAGAGTCTCCTGTTTGGGGACTGTGAAAGTATGATAGGAACATAATGTCCCCTGAATAACCCAGCTAAATCATAGGGAGTAGAAGACAGAAAACACAGAGCACAGAAAAAGGGCAGCTGAGGGAGGAGAAAGCTGGGTCCCTGGATCCCAGGGGAAGTGAAGATGGGGCCAAGAGAAATGGCCAGGTACTTTCTAAGAGGCAGGCTGTGAGAAGAAAGAGGAGGGTGAGGGCAAAGTGGGGAGGGACGGCTGGGTAGGAAGGGGTAGCTCAGAGGAGCACAGGTCCTGCACTGACAGTGGATGGGGAAAGGAAGTCCCATCAGCCGTCTCTCTACCTTGTAGGCCCTGCATAGGCACAGAGCTGATCTCTAATGCATGACATAGGTAAGGCATCACTCACTAGTTAAGTAACCTTAAACAAAAGTATTCATCCACTTATATAAGCAGTTTCACTTGCAAATTGAGGATGATATTATCCAGATCATAAAGCTGCCAGGGAATCAAATGAGTTAAATACAAGCGAGGTAGAAAGAGAACGGTAAATGTGAGCAGCTATTACTGTCAATTTACAATGGGAAGCTGAGCTAGTGGTCCTGCCCCATGTCCCACCCCCACCTTCGCCAGGACAGAAACCAAACTGAACAGCAAACGTGTTGCAGGCTGGGGCAGAGGAAGGGCCAGAAGGTCCGGATACTTAGTCACGCTAGGCACTACTTTCTTCTCATTGCCTACCCCCAGGAGGACCCAAACAAAGGATACGGATTGCTGAACATCCTCTTCAGGTCTACCTTCTCTTTGCAGTAGGGACAAGTCTGCTTCTTTCCCACGATGCACCAGCCACGGATACAGAACTCATGAAATCTGAACAACATCAGTCAAGGGAAGTAGTGGGAAGCCATGATGGCACTTCCGCCCTGGGGATCGCAAGATGCTTGTGTCCCAGCCCTGGAGAAAGGTTCAAACTCTGGCTTCACTTCTTTCTTTCTTTTTTTTTTTTTTGGTTTGTTTCCTGGTGGGACTGGGGTTTGAACTCAGCTTTGCACTTCCAAAGCAAGCTCTCTACTGCTTGAGCAACACCTCCAGTCAATCTTGCTCTGGTTATTTTGGAGATAGAGTCTTGCAAACTATTTACCAGGATCAGTCTTGAACAATAATTCTCCTGAACTCAACCTCCCAAGTAGCTAGGATTATAGGTGTGAGCTACTGGTGCCCAGCTCTGACTTCACTTCTTCTTCTTTTCTTTTTTTGCAGAACTGGGGTTTGAACTCAGGACCTACACCTTGAGCCACTCCGCCAGCCCTTTTTTGTGTTAGGCATTTTTTCCAGATAGGGTCTCCTGGACTATTTGCCTAGGGCTGGCTTCAAACTGCGATCCTCTTCATCTCTGCTTCCTGAGTAGCTAGGATTACAGGCATGAGCCACCAGTGCCCAGCTTCGCTTCTTATCAGCTATGTAATTTGTAGGAATTCCCTTCTCTTTGAACCTGTTTCCTCACATGTGGTATAAGGTTAATGATCCCTATCTTACAGGATTGTTAGGGGGAAAAATGGAAATTATACATGGATCTTTCAACATAGGCACAAAAATGGGAGCTTAGTAAACATATGATAAATATGAGAAGTATTATCCAGAAGAGGGGATTTGACTCTAAACTGAGGGATACTACTAGAGGGTTCTTTTCCCTTATGACATCCAAAGTTGGGCTACCTACCAGAGCCTTTTTAGCTACAGCCTCAGCTTCTCTTTGACCAAAGCAGTCAATAACCAGTGTTACATAGGGGAAAGAGTGAGAAAGGATGCAGTTTCTCTTGTGGCTATCCTACATCCAAACTCTGGGTGGCATGCCCTGTTACAAACCCACTGCCTCCCTAACTAGAGTGCTCTTCAGGAGAAATTGTAGCCCAGGAACACCAGGCAGGATACACGTGATTGCAGGACAGCCTATATGTGTTCTCGATGATGCCCTCTTCACTGACGTCCACAAAGATCTGCTGCCCACACACAGCACACACGCTGTCCGAAAGATGCTTAGTAGGCATGCCTGACTCACTGTAGAACTGGAGGAAAAAGAGCAGGAGAGGACAGGAAAAGGTGTGAGAATCTGCTGAAGTGGGAAGGCAACACCAAGGCCTTGAGTCTTCTGGAGAGGAGGTAAAATGGAGGGGTAGCTAACTGAAATTTTTTTTTTTTGGCTATACTGGAGTTTGAACTCAGGGTCTCACACCTTACTAGGCAGGCACTGTACCACTTAAGCCATGCCTCCAGCCCTTTTTGCTCTCATTATTTTGGAGATAGGATCTTACTCTTTGATCAGGCCAGCCTGAACTGTCATCCTCCAATTTATACTTCCCACAGTAGCTGGGATGACAGGTGTTTAACACTGCACTCAGCTATTGGTTGAGATGGGGTCACATAAACATTTGCCTAGGCTGGCCTTGAACCATGATCCTTCCAATCTTTTCCTTCTGTGTAGTTAGGATTATTTGCATGAGGCACCAGCACCTGCTAGATACTTACTCCTTCCTTCCTCCTTCCTGCTTCCTCCTTCCTTCCTTCCTTCCTTCCTCCCTCCCTCCCTCCCTCCCTTTCTTCTCTCTCTCTCTCTCTCTGTACTGGGGTTTGAACTCAGGGACTATGCCTTGAGCCACTCCATCAGGCTTTTTTGTGCCTTTTTTTCAAGATAAGGTCTCACAAACTATTTGTCCAGGATGGTTTCAAACCGCGATCCTCCTGATTTCTGCCTCCTGAGTTGCTGGGATTACAGGCCTGAGCCATCAGCACCCAGCTAGATGTCTCTTTCAAAAGCCAAAGGAAACTCATCTTTGCTGGGCAGATGGGGAAAAAGGGACAGACCAGAGAAGGATTGGGAAGTCAGATGTAACAGGATCCAAATCTGAACGGAGTCAGCATTAGGAATGAGGGGAGAAGGAGTGAAGCCTCAGAGCTGATGATCAGGAGCTGTCAGGAAGCCCTTCTGTGGCTACACTGTGGTTCCATCAGAGAGAGACAACATCACTCTTCAACATTTAAAAGTAAAATATTGGGTATCATGTTGGTTTGGTGACAATGACATTCTCAGACATTTGTGACAGCAGAAAAGGAGGTTCAATCCTTTTGGATAACATTTGGCAGGATGTCTAAAACTGAACCTTTAACCCCCTAATTTTACTTCAAGGAATTTAAAGAAATGAATAGAAATGTCAAAAAAAGTTCATGCAAGGGTTGGTGGAGTGGCTCAAGTGATAGAGTATTTGCCTAGTAAGCATGAGGCCCTGAGTTCAAACCCCAGTATTACTGCCAAAAAAAAAAAAAAAAAAAAAAGCTACATGCACACAGATATTCAATTAAGGATTATAATTAAAGAAGCAAAGAGTTTCACATTGTCTCAAAAAGTTAAACAATTATTATATGAGCTTACAATTCCATTTCTAGGTATATACCCAAGAGAAGTGAAAACAAGAACTAAACAAATACTTATGAGCCAATGCTCATCGCAGCAATGCTCATAATGGCCTAAACATACCAAGTGTTCAACAGATTAATGAATATATAAAATGTGGTATATACATACAATGGAATATTATTCAGTCATAAAAATTAATGAAATTATAATACATGGTACATATTGGTAAGCCTTGAAAACACTGTATACTAAGTGAAAGAAGCCAGATACCAAGACAAATATTAGGGATGGAGGTGTGGCTCAAATGGTAGAGCGCCAGCCTAGCAAGCATGAAGCCCTGAATTCAAACCCCATTACCATCAAAACAAAGAGCATTAAAGACAAATACTACTTAAATGAAATCTCTATAACAGGTAAAGTCATGGAGACATAAGCAGACAACAGGTAACCAGGGACTGGGTGGGGGGAAGCAGTGGGGAGTTACTGCTTAGTGAGCATAGTTTTTGTTTGAGATGATTAAAAACAATGTGAGTAAAATTAATATACTGAACTGTGCACTTAAAAATGGCTAAAATAGCACCAGGCATGTTGGCACACACCTGTAATCATAGTATTCAGGTGACTAAGGCAGTCTCCTATGAGTTCTAGGACAGCCTAGACAACATAGCAAGGGAAAATGGTGAATTTTATGGCTAATATATATACTTTATATACTTACATAAATATATATAAATAATATCACAATATCTATCCACAATTTTTTCCTGAGACAGGGTCTCACTATGTACCCCAGACTGGCTTCAAACCCATGGTCCTCCTGCCTCACCCTCCTGAATGATGAAATTATTACAGGTGTATGCTACCACACCTGGCTTTATGTCCACAATTTAAAAAATCGTTTAAAAGTGAGGTGCCGGTGGCTCACACATATAATCCTAGCTACTTGGGAGGCGGAAGTCAGGAGGATTGTGGTTCGAGGCCAGTCCAGGCAAGCAGTTTGCAAGACCCCATCTCCAAAATAACCAGAGTAAAATGGACGGGAGGCATGGTTCAAGTGGTAGAGGAGCACCTCCTTTGCAATCATGAGGCCCTCAGTTCAAATCCCAGTCCCACCAAAAAAAAAATTGTTTAAAAACAAGAACAAGCAAAGAACTGGAAATGACCACAAACGACTAATAGAAAAATGTCTAAATAAATTATAAAACATGAAGTATAAATAGTCAATTGCTGCTCAAGATAAAATATTAAGTGCACCCCTCCAAAGCTTGAAAGGCTTAGAACTCTGTTTAGGGTCTTCTAGGCACTCAGTTACAGAGCTGATTTTTCTCCTCAGGAAAGACTATACTAACATCGACAAGAATGGAAAATGGGAATCTCCCAGGAAGAGCTTGGCCTGGCCTGCTCAGCAAATGTCTGCAAGCATATGTGCTTGCTTGCTATTGAGTGAAAAAATGACCATGACATGGAATCAGAAGAATGTTAAAGCGTTTTCTGGAATGTGTCCTGGCTTAGAATTCTAGGCACATCAACCAAACAAAGGAGTGATCAAAGCAGCTGAGTCCAGCTCTGGCAGTGAGTCCCTATACAATAACGTAGCTCAGGAACACAACCACTTATACTGGCACATGGCACTAGCAATAACAGAATTAGGACCACCCAAACTCAGGAGGTAGGTTGGAGCTCAATTCATGCCAGAGTTCTGCCCCCAGGACACTGGGACAAAGGATGCAAGATCAAAGAAGACTTAGAGGCAAGACAATGGTTGGGAAGTCCAGGGAAATATCTGCTAGGACCCTGGTTTCTAAAGCGCTCCCCTCCCTCCCTGCCCCTAAGAGGCCAATGTGGTAACAGGCAGACAGGATTAAATCCCATAAACTGTTTCAACACAGCACACAGCAGCTAAGTCTGCCAAGTCAGGATGTCCCAGCAATGTCAGGGCCACAAAAAACCAATAGGAGGCTTGATCAAGAGACAAGGAGGTTGAGGAGCACCTTCTCTTGGGATGTCCCTCCTCCCTCAACTCTGGGGGCTCTACTCTCCCACTTTACACTTTTCTATCTCAATCTCCTGCTTTACACATAAAAAAAGAGAGAGAAAGACAAGGAGGTCAAGCTGGGCAAAGTATAGGGAAGTAGAGCTCAGTTCAATTCAAGAGCTTGATCCTTCAATGGAAAAGGCTCAAAGGTGCATTAAGATTACACAGACTGAATTCCAAACATTTGTCACTATCTTGGTGGCAGAACAAGCCACCCAACTGTTCCTTCTCCATCAAAATATATTGGGCACCTACCAAGTACCAGCCATGGACTGGGTTTGGGGATATAATACTGGAAAAACATAAATCTGAACACTGTCCTCATAGAACCTACAGTTAAGGGAGACCGAAAATCTGTATCTGTATGTGTATGTGTATAACATAAGAATTAATTATAAACACCAAAAAGGTATATGATTAGACTCAAAATTTTAAAACATTAATCTGTCTTTGGTGTGAACACTGGGTTGAAGATGACGTCAACATGGATTCACAGAGATCAGCTGAATTTAGACTACTAAATTCTTGTGCAATGGATGGAGATTGGTGCCAAAGTGATGGTTCTAGCTAATTTGGTGGCAGTAAAAACTGAGAAGAGTGGACACACTGGTCATGAAAAATAGACAGCTGAATAGCAAAGATCTGGAGCTCTGAAGAGTTTGAGATTAAAGATCTAAGAGCCATGGAAAAAGAAAAGAGAAATACCAGTGGGGCATGATGGCCACACCTGCAATCCCAGCACTCAGGAGGCTGGGTCAGGAGGATTAAGAGTTTGAGGCCAGAGGGCTGGAGGTGTGGCTCAAGCAATAGAGTATCTGCCTAGCAATCTCATGGCCCTGAGTTCAAACCCCAGTACTGACAAAAAAAAAGGTCTGAGCAACATGGTAAGACCCTATATCAAAATAAAAAGTGAATTAGAATCTGAAACTATATCTCTCTTACTCCAAACCCCTAGTCATTTCTACTATTTCAAGTAGTAAAGATGAGTGGGCAACCAATCTTGTCCTGGTTTTATCTGGGGCTTCTAAGGATTCAGGAGGCAAACCTGTGGCACAGGGACTTTCTCAGAAGACCCAAAATGTGAAGTAGGACATACAGCCCAATGTAGCACATAGATGTATTAATATCCTGCCTTCCCAATAACTGTGTCAGTGAAAAAAGCCCCAGAAAATAGACTTATTTCACAATCTTCTACCCTTGCCACAGCGTGACTTTTGGTATGAATGGAAATATATAGTGACTGGCTGTCACAAGCTTATGACCTCACAGTGACCAGCTGGAAAAAAAGAGTCCATCCCATGGTCCCCAGACTTGATTTCAGAAGAATTACTTTAGTACAGATTACAGACGTCTCCACGAGAGGCAAGACAAAGAAGTATTCTACGCTATAGAGAGTAATGCAGAACCATAAAAAAGGAATTGAGAATGCTTCTTAATACAATGATAAGACTTCACAGTTTCATTTCTTTATTTGGTACTGGGGATTGAATCCAGGGCCTTGTGCATGCTAGGCAATTATTTTTAACGATTCCCAGCATAGTTAATCACTCCCTCTTCTGTTTTACCTTTTCATTTGGAACCATACCTCCAGCCATAATTGCTTTATTTTCTATCTTTTT